AGAAGATAATTAACTTACATAAATATTGGACTGGAACGAAAAAGTGCACACAGAGACGGAAACATCAGTGCGCCAGAAAAGGCAACTGGCGAGAATGGCAGAGTAATGTTATGCATATTTTCAGGACACGCCGGAAGGGGGAAGCCAAGCACAGAACCCAACCAACGAGGCGAAGGTCCTCCCGCAGGCCACAGACAAGAACATCGCTACGTCACCCGAAGGAGGAGTGGACAACCCTGCTGTTGACCTGCGTGTAGAGACTATGTGACGGGCGAGGCGCCACCTGCTGGAGGAGAGCGAGTGGTGGAGTTCCTGTTTATCACTGGATAAACGTGGGATACATGAGAGTGAGAGATTACATACGGGATATACAGGACTACAAAAAAATGTTTAGTGCTGCCGCGCACCTGTGCTCTCAGCTTCAGCTCCTTTCTATGATGGTTCAAAGTACTTATATAGAATTCTTTTCAATAAAAAATACACTGCGTGTTTTATTCTTATTAGTATTATGCAAAAGTTGCAATAAACAGATTCCCAATTTAATTTTTGCCAAATAATACTGTAACGCGAACTGACACAAAGCCAAGCTTTTAAGAGCACTTAAACAGTCACAGTGGCTCTCCGCGTGCAGCAAGTGTTCCCATAACAGATGCAAGCACCTGAAGGTTATAACAAACTTTTATAACTTTCAGGATATAACAAACACCGAGACAAAGACCGTGTGTTTTGACGTTCGGGCAACGTCAGGGTCAGTGGACAGTAACATGACTCGTACCCTGCACGGGCGCTCCACAAGTTGAATACACTGAAAGAAAACAAGTTGTTACCTAAACCCATATTAGGGTTGCAATCGTAGGAGAAAAAAAACAAGGTTAATAGGCGAGGTATAGTACCATCCAGATTTAACCATCCTAGATTTAACTCTTCGTAGTTACTTTTAGGTAAGCACACGCGGCTTGTTACAAATATAAACTTTTCGTAGTAAATTGTTTTTATCCATTCGTTCGCGGATTCCCCGAAAACAGTAATTTTTCTGTAATATATTATAGTATATAAATGAGAATCACGTCTCTCTACACAAGAGTTAAATGACCACGGGTTGTATTTCTTCCTAAGTAACAATCTGGATCAAACTGCTTCCAACTGCTCCATGGAGTGTGCGGTGGTGGGGGGGTTCCTGCCCGGGAAAAGATGGCTGCCTCCATACTGTCATTGGCTGAGTTTAAAATGAGTTTGATGCAGGAAGCTTAGTTGTCTTACCTGGTTACATGCATTTGATTTTGCGAGTTTGTATGTGTGACCTTGGTTGTGCTCACCTAGCTGTTACTGCAGGTAGGTGAGCACAACCTTGTGGGTTGTGAGTGGTTGTATTCCGCTCTTGCGTCAAGCCTCTCAACCTTTACTAGACTGATGCACAGGTTCTGAACCCTTTGAGGTCTGTCAGGTATGAAACCATGTGCAGGCGACGAGTCACAATAATGTGGCTAAAGGTGTGACACCCAACCCACACATCTGACACCTAAACCCCCACTGACACCCAACCCACACATCTGACACCTAAACCCCCACTGACATCCAACCCACACATCTGACACCTAAACCCTACTGACACCCAACCCACACATCTGACACCTAAACCCCCCACTGACACCCAACCCACACATCTGACACCTAAACCCCTACTGACACCCAACCCACACATCTGACACCTAAACCCCCCACTGACACCCAACCCACACATCTGACACCTAAAGCCCCCACTGACACCCAACCCACACATCTGACACCTAAACCCCTACTGACACCCAACCCACACATCTGACACCTAAACCCCCACTGACATCCAACCCACACATCTGACACCTAAACCCCCACTGACACCCAACCCACACATCTGACACCTAAACCCCCACTGACATCCAACCCACACATCTGACACCTAAACCCCTACTGACACCCAACCCACACATCTGACACCTAAACCCCCCACTGACACCCAACCCACACATCTGACACCTAAACCCCTACTGACACCCAACCCACACATCTGACACCTAAACCCCCCACTGACACCCAACCCACACATCTGACACCTAAACCCCTACTGACACCCAGCCCACACATCTGACACCTAAACCCCCCACTGACACCCAACCCACACATCTGACACCTAAACCCCTACTGACACCCAACCCACACATCTGACACCTAAACCCCTACTGACACCCAACCCACACATCTGACACCTAAACCCCCACTGACACCCAATCCACACATCTGACACCTAAACCCCCACTGACACCCAACCCACACATCTGACATCTAAACCCCTACTGACACCCAACCCACACATCTGACACCTAAACCCCCACTGACACCCAATCCACACATCTGACACCTAAACCCCCACTGACACCCAACCCACACATCTGACACCTAAACCCCTACTGACACCCAACCCACACATCTGACACCTAAACCCCCCACTGACACCCAACCCTCACATCTGACACCTAAACCCCCCACTGACACCCAACCCACACATCTGACACCTAAACCCCCCACTGACACCCAACCCACACATCTGACACCTAAACCCCCCACTGACACCCAACCCACACATCTGACACCTAAACCCCTACTGACACCCAACCCACACATCTGACACCTAAACCCCTACTGACACCCAACCCACACATCTGACACCTAAACCCCCACTGACACCCAATCCACACATCTGACACCTAAACCCCCACTGACACCCAACCCACACATCTGACATCTAAACCCCTACTGACACCCAACCCACACATCTGACACCTAAACCCCCACTGACACCCAATCCACACATCTGACACCTAAACCCCCACTGACACCCAACCCACACATCTGACACCTAAACCCCTACTGACACCCAACCCACACATCTGACACCTAAACCCCCCCACTGACACCCAACCCTCACATCTGACACCTAAACCCCCCACTGACACCCAACCCACACATCTGACACCTAAACCCCCCACTGACACCCAACCCACACATCTGACACCTAAACCCCCCACTGACACCCAACCCACACATCTGAAAATGACGAACCGACGACGTTTCGGTTCGTCCTGGACCATTAAGTGGTGAAATAAAGATGCCTGTCTCTACAACTGCCGCACTAGTCATAGGGCAGGTACCATGTCATATGGTTTCTGACGGTCCAAAATAATTATCAAATGTAGGCTTCAATGGTTACTGAAAATGCAGCATAACATTCAAAATTTAAAACCAAAATATGTAACCTTTTGGAAATCACAGGTAAACATTTTTATTTTGAAGTACTTATATATATATATATATATATATATATATATATATATATATATATATATATATATATATATATATATAAATAAAAGAGAGAACACTTACAACTTTTTTTTTTTTGCTTGCTGCCGGGAAGTAATTTCCTGCGACTTGAAAAGGTAATGGTGGGTTTGCTGAGGCGTCTGCCCCAGGGAAGTAGGTTGGCGGAGGCAATGTAATCAGTGTACGTGTGTGTGTATTCACCTGGAGGGGATCATCTAGGTGTAACTGGAGTGTCCAGCTCCAGCCTTCCCAGTGCTCCATCAGTTTCAATGCCCGTAATTCACAAAAGAGGAATTTGTGCAAAAGTCAAAACGCAGAATGTCACGGGAAGGAAAGTGGCGGATGTAATGAAATTTGGAGAGGCGGCCAGAGGGTTACGCGAAAGATGGGTTAGTAGCTCGATTCTAATGTCCAGAAGGAGAGATAATTATCAGGAGAAACGCTAAACCGGTATGACTATGGAAAGCAGCTAAAGCTTTCTCTGACGGATCAATCTCGACTATTATTATTAATAATAAGCTAGAGATCCCTCAAGGAGTAATAAGCCCCACACACTATTCAACATCGTAAGTATTAACTAATACAACTACTAATATAACATTTCTGGGAAGAGTACAAGAATTAGAATATATAAGCTCTCACCTTTGTAAAGATGAAGCAGTCTATTAAACTTCTTTGAAGGAAATATTCTGAACTTGGCTTCACTTTTCACAAATAAGAAAAAGCGTACTCTTATCACAATAGAGAAAACGAAGACCTGCAAATTAATAGTGAAGTTCCTGAATGGGCTGACCTTTACCAGTACCTTGGGGTTACTGTTGGCTCTAGTTAGGTAGAGAACAAAAAAAAAAAGAGAGAGCTTGATCAGCTCACAGGGTCAGGCAAAAGCTGCATCATGGTCTTCAGGCCTGTGTCATTTCTATATCTAGAATTCCAAAATTATGCTTGTAACTCATTTTGTATGTATGTACTTTTACCTAAATAAACTATTATTATTATTATTATTATTATTATTATTACTATTATTATTATTATTATTACTATTATTATTATTATTATTATTACTACTACTGGGAGCTATGTCCGGGAATGGTCATGAGGCTTCCTTTGCTGTACTTAAAATGATGTACACAGCATGTATGTACTTCGTCAAAAACTATGACGAACTATGATGTCTTATGTACATATTCAAGAAAGATGAAAAGGCTTTAATGCTTACAAGATCAATCTTAAAAGTCTTGTATGCCGATACGATGTTTCGGCCGTACATAAAACTGCTGAAACATCGTATCTGCGACAAGTAATACGAATCTTTCTAGCTTAAAAAGAGGACTAAGGAAATAAATGCCTAGCTTGCTATTAAAATTGCCTGAAACCTCATAACAATCATTTTGCCAAGACAAACTGAGCTTTGCATTGAAAGTAGAAGGATGGGTATATGGGGTCCACTACCCCTCACAGGATGGGTATATGGGGTCCACTACCCCTCACAGGATGAGTATATGGGGTCCACTACCGCTCACAGGATTGGTATATGAGATCCACTACCCCCTCATAGGATGGGTATATGGGGTCCACTTTCCCTCACAGGATGGGTATATGGGGTCCACTACCGCTCACAGGATTGGTATATGGGATCCACTACCCCTCACAGGATGGGTATATGGGGTCCACTACCCCTCACAGGATGGGTATATGGGGTCCACTACCGCTCACAGGATTGGTATATGGGATCCGCTACTGCCCACAGGATTGGTATATGGGGTCCACTACCCCTCACAGGATGGGTATATGGGGTCCACTACCGCTCACAGGATTGGTATATGGGATCCGCTACTGCCCACAGGATTGGTATATGGGATCCGCTACCGCCCAGAGGATAGGTATGGCGGTGCTTAATAAATGAACTAAATTAAAATAAAGTCGGCAAATCGTATCTTGATTTGAATCTTGGCCATCAATGGCACCTATTAAACGTACTCAGTCACCGATAAGGTAAAAAAAGAATGATGGTGCTGAATCATGTATATGTGAAGATAAATGATAACTCATCATATACTATCATCTGTCACTATCTCGAATTACGTGATATCACTACACGTGTGATGGCAAGCTCGGCTCTCAAGTGGGACATGGACTGGGACGACGATACTCGCTTACTGTTTAAGTTTCTTTTAAAGGGAATTCTAAGCGAGTGATAGCAGTTTAAGGAGGCTTGTGTGTGTTGCCATGCCTTCCCTACACTATTGCTTGACCTTAGCGACGAATGATAGAGCAGGTGGACATGAAACGTCAAGTATATTATGCGGGATGGGTGCACATGTTCAGTGGTGGTGTACACGTGGAGGCCATGTGATAACAGCGGCCGGCTTGCCACCGCCCCTCATCCCATCCACATTTATTGTATCTACCCTATACAAGTTATCACGTGATCTTTACCAGATAAAACACTGAACATAGGTACATAAAACAACAATATAAATCGCGGGCAAGAGTTACGGTGCATGATAATATGGGTGGGAGAGTGTGGCGGGGCTGGCCCGCACTAGAGGCCCAGCAGTCACCGTGGAGGGTCACCCACTACAACCTCTCCCTCTCTCTCTCTCTCTCGTACCACAGTAACAGTAGGTGAACTTACGGCAAATATTTAGCCAAATTTCGTGGTGTGGCCGCTATACTGCCTCTTGGGCGACCCTCCCAGCACGCTGTTGCTAACCTGGTGGGGCCTGGACTGGTTGATCTGTGGTGTGTGTCAAGAGGTGCCACAGTAACTGTGGACGGTGATCTACAAGGGAAGATGACGGGTCGTGTTGGCCGTGTCCTGCTCCTGGACGGTGTGGACCCCCTGTGTGGGAAGGTCCTCAGGCAGGCGGGGATAGACGTCACTACACACACCAAGCTCACAAAGGAACAACTTCTCAAGGAAATTTCGGCAAGTATAATATTTCAGTATTAATATCTCATTAGTATTAACTTTCTCAAATGTTATTTTGAGGTTATCGTGAGGTGATTTCGGGGCTTAGCGACCCCGAGGCCCGGTCGTCGACCAGGCCTCCTAAATAATTTAATAATCCTAATAACCAGGCCTCCTAATCTAATTAATAAGTACCATATTAATTTCTTCAAGATACATTTGCTTCATTTCTTGTGGTATCATTTGTAACTTTTTTCGTTGCCGTCTTATCTGTTATCTCACATGAGTCGTCCTCTCATGGTGGGTGACATCCCTAAGGGCATGACTCGAGCAGATGGGGTTGACCGGGGTTGGTAGAGGGGGGGTTAGGGTTAGGACTGAGGCAGGGAGTGGCTAGGTGAAGGGAGGAGTGGTTGGGGCAAGTGAGGAGGCCGAGATGAATGGTAAGGAAGCTGGGGTGAGCGGGGAAGATGACTGGGGTGAGCGAGCAGGAAGGGTCTGGGGTAAGCTGGGAGTGACCATGTCTGTAGGGTGGTCGTGTTCATCTGTGGGGCATCCATATATGTTGAGAGTCATGTGAAGAACCATACAAACATTTACCAGCAAATAACAAAGAAGAGCAAGCCTAGCTTGACCACCAAATATGTACTTGGTCTTATGGTCTTAGCAATTAATAATTATTATTAATTATGATTAATAATTATTCTAATTCATAATACTCTAATTATAATTATAATACTTATAATTAATAATTATAATTAATAATAATTATAATACTGTAGACACTGCCCTTGCCTATTTAGTATGTTATATTATTATTAATTATTACAATTAATAATTTTTATAATTATTATTATGATTAATTATGATAATAATATAATTTATTATGGGTTGTACATTAGTATATGTACTATGGTCCTCATCATTACTATAAGTACTGTACTACAAGAACAAGAGGATGGGCCGAGAGATCATTATTACTCAGTTTGGCAAGGTGTAGATGGAGAGATACCTTAATTCATAAATGTAAAAGTCTTTACATTTTATATTTTTATTAACCTGAGCTAAGAGGAAAATGTATTTGCAGTCAGTAAACACATTTACTGTACTTTACTGTAAATGTTAGTACCTGTAAATGCACAAATGTATGTGTAAATAAGTAAATGCGTGTAAATACCCGAAACGCTGTGCGTACTAGTGGCTTTACAAAATTGTAAATACCATGCTATGTATCCTCACAAACCCAATGTACCTTCTTGTATATAAATAAATAAATAAATAAATAAATAAATAAATGTATTTACTAACATTTACATAAATGTAAATGTTAGTAAAATGTATTTATTAACAATACAATAGTAAATACATTTACTAACTGCAAGCTTATGGTTTCAAAATTCAAAATTCAAATGTTTATTCAGGTAAAGTACATACCTGTACATACAAGGGGTGATACAAATATTGCTGAATTTATAGATAGAGTTAGTACATACAATGCCTAAAGCCACTATTACGCAAAGCGTTTCGAGCAGGAAAAACACTAAAGACTAAAACTTAATACTAATTGAGATTAAAGTATAAAATGTGTCGAGACAATATAAAAATAAAAAAGGGGGAACATGGCAGAAAAACAGCAAAAATACAATTTGGTCGACAAACAGCATTGTTTAAAAATAAGAGACATGGGTTGACATAGGGGTAAGGTAGGTTACAGGGAGTTAATTAGGTAGTGCTTAGCTTTTATCTTAAACTGGTTGAGAGGGGTACAGTCTTTAACATGATTGGGAAGGTCATTCCACATTCTGGGTTCCTTGATTTGTAGTGCATTTCTAGTTTGATTAAGTCGTACTCTTGGAATATCAAAAAGGTATTTGTTTCTGGTGTGGTGCTCATGGGTTCTGTTACAACCTTCAATGAAGCTTTTAAGGTCAGGATTGGCATTACAGTTCAGCGTTTTATTTATATATAATACACATGAGAGGATGTGCAGTGACTTAATATCTAACATATTCAGAGATTTGAGTAGGGGTACTGAGTGATGTCTGGGGCCAGAGTTGGATATTGTCCTATTTGATACTGATTATTGCATCCTATTTGATACTTCATATATTAATATTGGGTGTGGTGGGACAGGAACATGATGGAGTTATCGTGAGGTCAGCAACCAAGGTGACAGCTGAGGTGATGGCTGCCAGCAAGAGACTCTGCATTATTGGCAGGGCTGGTACTGGTGTGGATAACATCGATGTAGAGGCTGCCACCCGTCGAGGTATCATCGTCATGAAGTGAGCCCATTCCCTCTACCTTTCATACGAAGGTTGTCTGCCTCCCTTCGCTCCAGCAACCTCAGCCCCCCGCCCGCATTCCCTTCCTCACCCCTGCCCGCCCATCCCCCCGGATTGATTCTTTTCATTAAAATTTTTATTGGTACTGTACTTAAGATATAACTGTAGATCTTGTATTTTTATCTTTACTATATTACTGCAGAATCTCAATATCCATTTCTTGCTTTCTACATTATTTGTTCTAAACACATCTTAGGGTATCATATATGTTCCTTCTTACTGTTTAAAACATTGTTCTGCTGCTTCACAAGGTGGTGGTGATGCTGTTGGTTTGGTAGAGGTGAACCCACTGCAGTATAGTATTATGAGTGTTGTTATTGCAGCACTCCTGGGGGAAACACCTTGTCTGCGGCAGAACACACCTGCACCATGCTCTGTTCTCTGGCCCGGTTCGTGCCACAGGCATGTGCTGCTCTCAAGGCTGGCAGCTGGGATCGCAAAACTTACATGGGCTCTGAACTCCATGGCAAAACCCTCGCCATACTCGGCCTTGGCAGGATAGGCAGAGAGGTGAGTACACACACCATTGACCCAGCAGGAGAGGCAGAGGTGAGTACAGCACACTCAGGAAGATGTTTACACTTGCCATGTGAGTGGATATTCATTAGTGGACCAAGATCTTCAGAAAGACAGCTGCTCTAGAGAAGGTGCAACACTGGCAACAAAAACATTCCAGAGCTAAATTATCTCTAGTGTCAGAAACGATTGAAGGCCACAGGGCTAACAACACTGCAAACCAGGCAAATTTGATGATGTGGTTTGTAATATTCTCATCTTTGTCAGTGATGTACTGTATATGACAAAAAGGGTTAGTCCCAAAATTAACCCCCTGTGATACCCCACTCAACATTTCTCCAGGCAGATTCATTCTGATTTAGCACGACTCTCTTTATTTTAACCATTGTTTTACCATTTATTCCATGTGCCTGTAATTTTCTTAAGTCAAGTCTTTCATGTGATACCTTTTCAAAAGCTTTAGCAAAATCCATGTCCTGAGTAGCTGGTTACCGTTTCCAAAAATGTGAGCAGGTTTGTAAGGCAGGATCTATTTTAACAAATCCATGTTACGTTGATTGTACAAGATTGTTCACAGAGATGTTGAATGATTCCCTCCCTTGGGATTCTCTCTTATGAGCTTGCAGAAGTATGCTGTCAAGCTGATTGGATGATAGTTTTCTGCTGAGCTCTTTCTGCCTTTATTGCAAATAGGGGTGACATTCCAATCTATGGGTACGATGCCTGGGTCCAGAGATTTTCTGAAAAGGAGTTTCAGCAGTAGATATTGTTCCTATGTTAGTTCCTTTATGACTTTAGATTGAATTCTATCCACACCTGGGGCTTTTAAAAAAGTATTTTTAGTTTTCCCATGCTCCTCCTGATTATGTTGCACTTTATGGGTATAGTATCCCTAAATTCATTCTTTTCACCTTCAAACATTTGTGTGGGTGATGGGATGTCATCTAATCTTTTTAGTGTGAACACTGATGTAAAGTATTCATTCAAAGTATTTGCTGCCCTTTGTTGTCCATTATAGCTTGGTTAATCTCAACTTTTAGAAGAGCTCTACAGAGTCCTTTGTTTTGGTTTTACTTCTTATAGGGGCATAGAATGACTTAGGATCTTTCTTTAGAAACTAGGGAGAAACTTTCTCTAGAAACAAGGGAGTTAAGCTTTAGGCTGCACAATGAAACTGCTATAAACAATTTTATAACTGCTGCTGATAATGTCAACTGGGAGTCCGAGTTAGGTAACATAGGGGACATCAACCTAGCAGTGCAATCTTTTCTACAAACAACTCTTAGCCTTTATAACACCCACTGTCCTAGGCTTACAAAACAAGTCACAAGCAAAAGGCTTAACAATCCTTGGCTTACAAAGGGAATACTGAAATCCATTAACAAAAAACACGACCTTGAGAAGAAGTATAGGTTAGGAATTGTCTCCAAAGAATTCTCAAAGAATTACTCATTATTGCTATCTAAGATAATTAGACGAGCCAAAACTAAATACTACGAAGATAAATTTACTCAAATAAAGAGCAACATTAAACAAACTTGGAGCACAATTTCACAAATATTGGGATCAAAGAAATCTTTAAATAACAAACCGACTCTCCTGTCTAATAACGATGGTCAGCTTTCAGCCTCTGATTCTGCTATTGAGTTCAATAGGTTCTTCTCTTCCATTGGTTCATCCCTTGCAAATGATATTCCATCTTCCAGTACTGACATTAAGGACTATCTTACAGGTAACTATCCTCAGTCTCTGTACCTAAAGCCTATTAACTCCACTGACGTCAATGAGATAATCCTTTCCCTTAAAACCAAGTCTGGTGCCCTTGAGGAGATACCAACTTTAATTTACAAAAAAGCCTCCAGATCTTTAGCCCCTGCTATTGCTTTGCTCTTCAACAAGTCACTTGAACTCCAAACCTTTCCAGATATTCTAAAAAAAGCGAGAGTAACGCCTGTCCACAAATGTGGTGACCCCACAGATGTTAACAACTACAGACCTATATCAATCCTGCCAAACTTGTCAAAAATTTTTGAAAAACTTATATATAAGCAGCTTTACTCATATCTAGCCAAACTCAATATACTTAGCCCTTGCCAATATGGCTTCAGACCCAAAAAAAGCACTAACGATGCACTTATTAGTATGCTTAACTCGATTCATACAGCTCTTGATAAAAGGAGTTCCCTGTTGGGTTATTTGTGGACCTGCGTAAAGCTTTTGATACTGTCAACCACCATAACCTTCTTCTTAAATTACATCATTATGGAGTCAGAGGACACTCCCTACAATACCTCGAGTCCTACCTTACTGACAGGCTCCAATATGTTTCTGTGAATAATACAATTTCTCCCACCCTACCCATCAACATTGGTGTTCCTCAGGGCAGCATACTTGGCCCTCTCCTCTTTCTCATCTACATTAATGACCTTCCAAATGCCTCCCAACACCTCAAACCAATTCTATTTGCTGACGACACAACCTTCATTTACTCCAGTCCTGACCCTCTTGCTCTAAATGCCACAGTAAATACTGAGCTAAATAAAGTCCATCTTTGGCTAACTGCCAACAAACTCACCCTTAACATTGACAAAACTTTCTATATTCTGTTTGGCAATAAATCCTCTAGTCTTATAAATCTCAAAATAAACAATACCCAAATTTGTAACAAATTAGATGGCAAATTCCTTGGCATTCTCATTGACCACAAGCTGAATTTCCAGGGACACATTCTAAATATATCAAAAAAAGTTTCAAAAACTGTGGGCATTCTTTCTAAGATCAGATATTATGTACCACGCCCTGCCCTGGTGACTCTCTATTACTCCCTTATATATCCTTATCTCAACTATGGTATTTGTGCTTGGGGTTCTACTACCCAAAATCACTTACGTCCTCTAATTACCCAACACAAAGCCTGTATTAGAACAATATCCAACTCTGGCCCCAGACATCACTCGGTACCCCTACTCAAATCTCTGAATATGTTAGATATTAAGTCACTGCACATTCTCTCATGTGTTTTATACATATATAAAACGCTAAACTATAATGCCAATCCTGATCTTAAAAGCTTCATAGAAGGTTGTAACAGAACCCATGAGCACCACACCAGAAATAAATACAGTTTTGATATTCCTAGAGTACGTCTTAATCAAACTAGAAATGCTCTGCAAATCAAGGGGCCCAGAATGTGGAATGACCTTCCCAACCATGTTAAAGACTGTACCTCTCTCAACCAGTTTAAGATAAAAACTAAACACTACCTAATAAATTCCCTGTAATCTACCTCACTCCTCTATTGTCAACCCATGTCTGTTATTTTCTTTTTTTTTTTTTTAATCAACACTGTTTGTCAACCTATTGTATTTGTGCTGCTTTTTCAGTCATGTTCCCTCTTTTTTTATCTTTATTTGTATTTGTTCTCAACACTTTTTATTCTTTATGCTCAATTAGTATTAAGTTCTAGATATTAATGTTTTTCTTGCCCGAAACGCATTGCGTAATAGTGGCTTTAGGCATTGTATGTACTAGCTCTATCTATATAGAGCAGTCTCCGTGGTGTAGTGGTAAGACACTCGCCTGGCGTTCCGCGAGCGCTATGTCATGGGTTCGTATCCTGGCCGGGAGGATTTACTGGGCGCAATTCCTTAACTGTAGCCTCTGTTTAACGCAACAGTAAAATGTGTACTTGGATGAAAAAACGATTCTTCGCGGCAGGGGATCGTATTCCAGGGACCATAGGATTAAGGACTTGCCCGAAACGCTACGCGTACTAGTGGCTGTACAAGAATGTAACAACTCTTGTATATATCTCAAAAAAAAAAAAAAAAAAAAAAATATATCAATCCATTAATGTAACATCACTTGTATGTATATACCTTACCTGAATAAACATCTGAATCTGAATCTGAATCTTTATGTTTTGGGCAAGTTTTCTTTTGGATTAATCTGATTTCCTGGGTGGCTGTATTTAATGGCCTTTTATCTCGATCTGTGATGTTCATCATGGATTTATATCTTGTCGAGAGGGTCTGCTTAGTTATTAAAGCTCTTTATACTACCTGTATCATCCATCTAGTTCCATTTTTCCATTTTTCCTTTTTTGGGACATTTTTGAACGAGTTCAGTAATGACCTTAAAATTTTCCCATGATACTTTCGTGCAATGATCACCTGTCACCTCCCTCCAGGTCTTGTTTTGCAATTCCTCTCATTTCTTGATAGTCTCCTCGATGGTATTCTAGAAATTCATTATCATGGATTTTCTGCAAGTTTTCTATTTATAATCAATCTTATAATATGGTGATCACATGGGGGGGTGAGCTTTTTTTTTTCCTAGTGAATTCGATCAATCACCCATACAGCCCAGGAAAATGGAATCATGCTCTCTTTTGATCTAGATTTAGCCCACATGAGGTAACAGCACAAGATCTAGAATGCTGTTACCTTGTGTGGGCTGTGTCACATGCTGCATGAGAAAGGAGTCATGTACCAGGTCGAGAAATTGTTCTACTTATATAAAATATATAAATATTTATAAATGTACATGCTCTAGGGGTAACACTATACATACTGTACTTTTTTACCAATTTCTTGCATTTGGTAAATATTTGTTGCAAGATACTGTATATTTCTATTAATAAACAAGTTCATTTTAACGCAAAATGCATTATTTCACAGGTAGCCAAGCGCATGCAGGCTTTTGGGATGATTACCATTGGTTACGATCCCATAATCCCAGCGGAGGTGACCGATGAATGGGGAATAGAGTCAATGAGTTTAGAAAATCTGTGGCCACGGGCGGATTATATCACAATCCATACGCCACTCCTGCCCAGCACCAAGAACCTCATAGGCGAAGATACCCTGGCCAGGTGCAAGCCTGGGGTGCGCATTGTTAACGTGGCCCGTGGAGGCATTGTGGATGAGGCAGCACTGTTAAAGGCTCTGGAGGCTGGCACTTGCGGTGGTGCAGCCCTTGATGTCTTCCAAGAGGAGCCACCAACTGACCTCAGTCTTTGCAGACATCCAAAGGTACTTTTAATTTATCCCTCACTTTGAAATTTATACTTAATGAACATTTTTTTTTTAAATATGTCCTGGTGTATAACATTCCAGATAGATTACAACACTCGCTTATACTTGTCTGAATCGGTAATATCAGTTTATGCTTACATGCCGCCTAGTGATATCCACGTTTGAATTCTCTGTGAAAAATTTCATCACTTGTGCTTTTTTTGTTGCTTGTCACAAAAGTTCCTATTACATATCAACCTATGGGCCCCAAGAAATTCAGTGGTAAAGATCAACTTTAGAAAATAGTTGCGAGGATGACGATAGAAGAAAAAAAGAAAAAAAGACATCATTCGTAATCATGAAGATGGTATGCATGTCGTTGATCTGGCTAGGAAAATGTGTGTAGTGTGGGAAGAACTGCAAAGTTTTGCTGAAAAAACTCTCCCAGATAAAGCTATAGTAAGCCATTGTGTTAACCTTTTCTAATGTCACTGAAGTCTCAATACAGACAATTACTAAAACAAAGTTAAAAACAAGTGTCTTTACATAAATTCTTAGTGAGAAACAACCAGTTAACCACAAGCAGGTCCTAGTGATATTCCTACAGAACAGAGAGCACCCCAGAAATGTCATCACTGCCTGATGTTATAATGGAAGGGGACTCCCCTTTCAAGCACTAACACCTCCCCTCCTCACCGTCTTCCATATTCCAACATGAGTCCTCAATAAAGGTAAACTGCAGTAAAAATATGAGAAGTACTCTGTATACAATATATTTTTAAGTTAATATTTTTGGGTGTGTGGAAGAGATTAATTCAATTTACATTTTCTTGTGGGAAAATATGATTCGGTGTGCGAATATTCAGGTTAAATTGCATTTCTCAAAATGGATTAAGTTTGTACACCAAGGTTCCTTTGTATTGTACTATATTTCCTCACTTGACCCCTCCTCCTTCCCTGCCACTGGGATCCCACCTCCTTTTCAACCATAGGCACCCCCCACCTCCTTCCCTGTCACTGGGACCCCATCTCCTTTACCACCACTGGGATACCACCCAGTAGATAGTAGATAAATATAGTAGAGGACCACATTATGAACATCAAGAACATGCGAGGAGCCAATGCTACACTTTCTAACTTCAGAATTGCTTTTAAATACTTGGATGGAGAAATACTAAAGAAATTGTTCAAGACTTTTGTTAGACCAAAGCTGGAATATACAGCAGTTGTATGGTGCCCATATCTTAAGAAGCACATGAACAAACTGGAAAAGGTGCAACGACATGCCACTAAGTGGCTCCCAGAACTGAAGGACAAGAGCTACGAAGAGAGGTTAGAGGCATTAAATACGCAAAAACTAGAAGATAGAAGAAAAAGAGGCGATATGATCATTATGTACAAAATAGTAACAGGAATCGATAAAATTGATAGGGAAGAATTCCTGAGACCTGGAACTTCAGGAATTTCAAGAACAAGAGGTCATAGATATAAACTAACGAAACAAAGCTGCCGGACAAATATAAGAAAATTAGTTTTTGTAAACAGAGTGGTAGATGGTTGGAACAAGTTAGGTGAGAAGGTGGTGGAGGCCAAAACCGTCAGTAATATCAAAGCGTTATATGACAGAGTGCTGGGAAGATGGGACACCACAAGCGTAGCTCTCATCCTGTAACTTCACTTATGTAATTACCTCATTTCTTGCCACCAGAACCTGGACCTCTTTTTCCCTGCCACTGAAACCAATCCTGCCCTCCCACTGTAACCCCCCCCCCCCCTCCTCCTGCCCCCCCACTGGGACCCCCCCATTTCCTGCCCTCCCACTTGGACCCCCAACTCCTGCCCTGCCACTGGGACCCCCCCCCACCTCCTGCCCTCCCACCGGGACCCCCAGGCACTTTCTCTTGGTAATTCCCTCCCTCCTGTGCTGCCACTGCTACCCCATCACCTGCTCTTCCCTACCCTGCCGCCTTATGCTGCTCATCCACCACAGTACAGTATACTGTGCACTTTGGTTTCTACAAAAGTGATAGGTTAAGCTGCCCTGGATCATACAGTGTTCTCTCTCATTGTGATAGGAATAATTTATTTACTAATAAATCTGTTTCTTGCAAGTTCTATTACCAGTACATGTACTCTTAAGAAAGGGCTACAACATTCCATTACACTATATTCCTAATACAGTTTGCTTATTTTCATTACCCAACAATACATCACTTTGTAATTTTGACATTGCTGTCTTGTAATACTCATAATATTAATAAATGCTTGGTACGGTATTTCAAGGGTTGAAGTATGTAAGACAAAGCATGTCCTGGCAGGTGGTGTGCACCCCTCACCTAGGAGCAAATACTGTGGAGGCACAACAGCGGGTGGCAGTGGAGATAGCTCAACAGATCGTGGATATGGTAGAAGGAAAGCCTCTGGTGGGTGTGGTGAATGCTCCAGCCCTCACCAATGCCACCAGCAACACTTGCAAGCCCTGGATTGAATTGGCCGAGTCCCTGGGCCGCCTCGCCAACCATCTCTTACAGCCCGCTGACACTCCAGCCCTCGATATCTCCATTGACCTCTTCGGTCAGTTACCTCAAACATTATTTTCACTTATTTGCACGTACTAATAATAAATACATTTACACTAATAAATGCTGTGATAGTTTATGAATTCACAAATTAGTATTTACCATGTACCCAGTCTCATAGTGGGTGTACCCAGTGTCACAATGCAGTGCTTGATAAACGGTGTTGATGCAGGGAGTGGGGTAAGCAAAATGGAGCCATTCCTTGGATCTGCGGTGCTAGTGGGAGTACTGAGGGATGTGACAAAGAATGACATCAACTTGGTGAATGCTGCCCTGCTGGCCCAAGAGTCGGCAGTCTCCGTGACCATCCATGCCCACCCTTGCAAGCCTGTGCCTATCACCACCACCTCCCAAGAAGCCCTAATGGTCAAGGTGACGCGAGGTACCAGCACACACGTCCTCCTCGGTGAGTTACTCTTTGTACAATTGCCTCCATACATTATTCTTGAAAGGTGAATGTTTGTATAACTTGTTAAAACACATGTGCACATGCCTATGTCAATAATTACCATGTTCTGACCAGAGACATACTTTCCCCATGTGTTGTGACCAGGAAAATGCACCTTCCCTGTGTTCTGTGACTGGTTGACACTTTCTCAAGTGCCACAAGAAGTGATAACTTGTCTTTATTACAGGTAGTGCAGCTGGTGGGCAGTCGACCCTGTTGGCATTAGATGGGTGTGAGTGGGAGTCTGGATTGACACTGGGCCACAACATGCTTTTTTTCAGCACCATCCCGAGTGTTACCCCTCTGGCCACCATTGCCACTCGGTTATTAGACGTGCAAGTAGTGGTCACCTTACTGATGTCATCAGCACCTACTACCAAGGAGGTGTGGCATGTGGCCAGAACCAACACAGCAGTTGACCTTGCCCAAACTATTCCTGAAGTGCACCTCAGAGCACAGGTCACCTTCTGAGCTGGCCTTGCCCAAAATGCTAATTGTAATTAGGAACATTATAAAGATTATAAAAGTTAAATTCCACACCATTTATGTAACATTATTTTGTGTAATGCTCTCTTAAGTAAACTAAGTTTGTTTTATATTTGTATTTACTTCTCCCAGTTAGAACACAGGTCACCCTATGAGACGACCACATACATGGCCCGAACACTTGATTAACTCATGTACTCTAGGATGTGAGGAATTGGCGATGCATTCTATAGTTGCATAAGTTAGTGCAGTTTTCTTTTCTTTTGTATGTAGTTTAAATGATCCTAGTTCATTAATCTCAAACTTAAGTACTAGATTTAAAAATTCATATACCAAATACAGTCCCTGTGGTGCAGTGGTAACATCGCCTTTAACTTTGTGAATGATTTGGCCTGGGTTCAAATCTTGGCTGGGAAGGATTGAATCCTTAAGCGTACATTTGTTCACCCATCAGTGAATGGGTACCTGGTTGTTAGCTGATTTGGAGGGTTGTATTCCAGGGAAAATTATGGTTAAAGACTTGTCTGAAATGCTATGCATGCTAGTGGCTTTACAAGAATGTAAGAGCGCTTGTATATATAAATAAAATAAAAAAAATATGTAAATATCTACTGCTTGAGAAAATATTTTCCATAGTATGCATTTATTTGTGCATGCATATGAATTATCAGAATAAAATTATAAATTTAGTTTGATCTAACATAACGGTTATCACAGTGTTTAATTAAACTCTTGTATAATGCTAAATCGAGTAATCGTTACACAACAGCTGATGTGACAATATAACCTTGGCATTGGATCTTATATCTTTATAATCACAAATTTATTGCTTTTAATAAATTTCTGGTACCACAACTTAAATTATACATGTACTGTATCTACTGTACCTTCGGTAAAGTACTAACCAAATTTAATTAAAAATTACAGTATTCTTTTTTATCATCTTGTGGATTCAAAGATATACTGCTGTACAGGCATTTCATTTAATAAATATGGTGCAATTTTTATTTAATTTGAACCAATACTAATTTAGCAACCTTTCCTAATCTAAATATGCCAATTATTCCTCAATACTTCCTAACATATGTAAAAATATGCCTAAGTTAGAAATTCAACCTGTCAGTATAATTGTAATAATATTAGGATTTGCTCTTTTTGAAAAGAAATGTTAGAAAATGTACAAAATCGTTTTTGCCTGAAAAAGACAACAGTTGCACTTTCAAACCCAGGCCAGGATGCTCACAGAATTACCTAACTGGTACTCAACTGAGACTTTAAAACTATCCTGAAGCCCACATTGGCATTTGGAAGCATCCTGGTTTGGTTACTATAGAATAGTGTTATATTTTTAGGCTCTAGTTTGAATTCCCAATGATTCAAGTGATTTAAATGTTTATTATGGAATATATATGCAATATATACACAGCTTAAGTAACATAAATTGGCACAAATCCTCAGATAAGCTGCCTGAGCGAACGAGGAATATATATAATTCTGAAATAAATATGTAAATATATCTACATAATGAAAAATTAATATTAGTGGCAAAAATTATGCTTACAGATGTGTATGTACCCGCTGATGACACTAAAGTGTGCATCACTAGCAAAATCTGCGGGATAAAGGACATTGATTCGGTTAACAGACTATTAACTGCACACGAGAGTAAGGTCTGAACTAAGACAACACCATCAAGTAACATTCACACAAGCACACCACAAATTATTCTATATAAAACAGTTGGTAATATTTGCATTGTTCGAATGTATATTTATAAACCTTTCTGACAAACTCGATGGAGATGTGTAACTCCCCAACCTTGAGCCAGATTCACGAAGCAGTTACGCAAGCACTTACGGACCTGTACATCTTCTCTAAATCTTTGGCGGCTTTGTTTACAATTATTATACAATTAATGAGCTCCGAAGCACCAGGAGGCTGTTTATAACAATAACAACAGTTGATTTGAAAGTTCTCATGCTTGTAAACTGCTTAATAAATGTAACCAATGCCGTCAAAGATTGAGGAAAGATGTACACGTTCATAAGTACTTGCGCAACTGCTTCGTGAATCTGGCCCCTTGAGTGTGGCCCTTCGGGTAATACTCAAAGCTTCCGAACATTATGTAAGTAATGAAGAAATATGATATATTTACGCACTACAATGCTGGTGCTGAATGTTCAATATGAAAAAACATTTTTACTCTGAAATAATATAGTTTTATAGCGCAAATTAGACGAAACTAAATGACAGGTGACGCCACAGGAAGGCGACAATGTTTTGTGGCTTTGGGTAATTAGATGGATCCAATTTTGTTATAAAATGCTATTTAATTTAAAATATGTTTTTTCGTGTTCTACATTCAGCACCAACATTATAGTGAGTAAATATATCATATTTCTTCATTTCTTACGTAATGTTAGGAAGCTTTGGGTAATTAGACGGACCCGTGTGAGGTAGTAGTAGCCAGAATATCAATCATGGCCACAATCAGCTTCTTGTGCGTCTTGGAGATAATGAAACTGGGGAGTGCACACAAATACCTGCTTTTGATACAAATATATACATATATTTCTTATGCATTACAAACCTCTAGCATCTATGTAGCTCTAGCATCGTGTTAAAGACAGAGTTTATCAGATATAGAGTACAAAACCTGCTGGTACTCTGCCGACACGAGGTGTTGGTGGCTACCCAAACTAGCTGTCGTCCTCTCGGCGTTCACGTCACTGAACTATGTACCTAATTGCCTTAACCTAACCGAGGACCCATGAATAGAAAACGGGACATCACGTTAGTTCGCTATGATTTTTAGTACATCAGTTTTTGGCCTTAGGGGATTTATAGATCAAAATTTGATGAACTATTGGAGAGAACACTAACCTCCAGCCAGTCCTCCGAACAAAGACCCAAAAGTGATTCCATCCACCCGCCAAACCCCCGCTGTTTACGAATGAAAAACGGTTTACACACGACTCACAACTGATGACGTATCTTTATCTTGAGATGATTTCGGGGCTTTTTAGTGTCCCCGCGGCCCGGTCCTCGACCTGGCCTCCACCCCCAGGAAGCAGCCCGTGACAGCTGACTAACACCCAGGTACCTATTTTACTGCTAGGTAACAGGGGCATATTTGAAATTTGAAACTGTGAAATTGGTGAAAGAAACTGTGCCCATTGTTTCTCGCCGGCGCCTGGGATCGAACCCAGGACCACAGGATCACAAATCCAGCGTACTGTCCGCTCGGCCGACCGGCTCCCCCGTCCGAACACTTCCGGAACAAGTGCTTCACTCACGAATTTTCTTCGAACCACACCGCTGTAAATGCTTCACCCACGTACTACAAATACAAATAACCGCCAACAGAACCTAAACACCTAACCTAACAATCTATGCCTATATGTGCACAATATGCTAATATATTATAATATTATTTATATTTGAGAAAATTATCGTTTTGAATAAACAGTATGTAAACATTTATGAATGCGTCTGTGGGGTCGACCGCTGGATGGAATGGACTTGAGTCTAGGACGGGTTGCTAACCTCCCCTACCTCGCCACGAGGATCTGACCTTGCTCTATATAGTGATTACATTTTGAAAAGCTATGTAGCTCCATGGTTTGGTTTGGTGTTGGAATTAAGGCTTGTCAACCTCTGGAGGGTTATTAAAGACACTATAATAGCTTACTAACACATAAAGTATGCTTTACTTTTGCCCTGAACATTATCCAGGACTGAATGAAGTAAATTATATTCAGAAGCTGTGTATAAACCCCCATGTTGCTCCATTCACAATTGTGAGAAAATCTCGATTGTTCAACCATCCTCATAATAAATATATTTATGATTGTACGCTATAGCCTAGGCAACCGTACAAACTGAATTGTACTGGTGTAAATAATAGCATAGAAAACATACACTTTCCTGTACTAATAAGCATCAATCAACCTAGGTGGTAGATAGGTCGCTATAAACTACGGTTATATTACGGTAAAAGGGTACACGTTGGACTCAGGCGAGTGATAACAAGCTGTTGATATTCTATTATTTTCGGTGAATTTGATTACTAGTTAATATCTTTTGTAATTCCTCTCCATCCTAACCACTTCTCCATTGCCTCACTAATCACATAATGTATGTATTAATACTTGTTCTAACTGCGGCGGGTTTAGTAACAGATGGACGTGCTGTTAGAAAAATGTTTGTGTAGAAGCGCGACCATTTTTTGGCGACGTACCGTGAACTCTGAGCAGCCAAACAGATGTTTGATTTTTCAGAAACTTACCTATCAAGAGCCCACTGAACAGTACCCTGTAATTTGTACGTTGGGGACCATAACATACAAATTGAGAGGCTGGGTTAAGGTGTTGATGACGCTGGTACTGCTTATATCCTCCGTTAAGTCATTTCTTACATCGCTTCTGAGTCAGGTGTCGCGAAGGCATCACTGGCTGTCAGTCTGCCAGGTGGTGACGTTGGCTTTCCAGGTCAGGATATGAGTGGCAAGGCTCATTATGACCTCTCATAAGCGATAAGGCACAACTTATTATGACCCAAGTGTGATGACTGGTGGTGGTGAGCCAGACCTCCTTCACCCGCTCACACGTTATCCTTGAAGTCTGCTGCTCACACGTTATCCTTGAGGTCCGCTGGTCATACATCATCCTTGAAGTCTGCTGCAGGGTTGTCGACTCCTTCAGGCTCGTGTATAGACTTGACGCCGTTCTCTAGTCTGCCGGTCTTCTCGAGCGTGGCCATCGAGGTATCCCTGACATCGTTGGGGATCTCCTGTGGGAGGCAGAAGGGTGAGGTGAGCGGATACAAGTCATATTCTACTGTAATACAGTACAAGACGGTTCACCAACACAATTTAAAACCTACTTTACCTTTTCCAACCAGCCAATCCTAACACAAATTCCAACCTAACGGTACCAACCCTAACCTAACCTACTTAATCCAAACCAACCTAACCTAACCAAGCCTAATTCAGCCTAACCTAAGCTAATACATTCTAACCTAACGGTATATGTAGTTTTGCTAATCAGAAAATGAGCTTTATCGAGCTGTCTTGTGTACGATTTGATCCCTAATGGTGGATAACTTGCTGCCTGTTGGCCACGGGTTAGGAATAATAAATTAAATTTGTCTGGGACAGGAAGCTTGTGTGCGTATATATATATTATTTAGGCTTATATCAGGGTTCCCCTCAGGTCGAACTACTGACCATCCCCAGGATGCAACCCCCAAAATCAGTTGCCTAACTTCCTATTTACTGCTAGGTGAACAGAAGTATTCGATGAAAGGAAATTTCGTGCTTAACAACAATTTCTGTTCCGCTCAGGATGATGGTGCTACATAGCCTTCCCGGTTTGGTGCTTTCTTTTGATAATTACTTACTTACTGTTCCGCTCGGGAATCGAACCTGGGATCTCCGATTGACAAACCAAGTGTGAAGCTGGCCTTTTCCACATTTCTATTATTTAATAACTATATTTTGTATACATTTTTCAATCTTTATTTCCTTCAAGCCTTTCTTTAGACATGCTTGTGACTTGTGAGAACATTTTATGGTCTTAAAATCTGATATAATTTCTTGTACATATACACGTCACATCTTTTGTAGACACATCCACCTTGCTTTTTCATTCTGATGGCAATATATGTGTTTAAACGGATTATATGTTTTCCTGGTGAGTTAAGTGTCCTCACGGTGGGTTGTGTCCTCATGGTGGGTTATGGTGGGTTATGAGCCCTCATGGTGGATCATGGTGGGTTATATGTCCTGATGGTGGGTTATGGTGGGTTATGAGCCCTCATGGTGGATCATGGTGGGTTATATGTCCTGATGGTGGGTCATGGTGGGTTATGAGCCCTCATGGTGGATCATGGTGGGTTATATGTCCTGATGGTGGGTCATGGTGGGTTATGAGCCCTCATGGTGGGTCATGGTGGGTTATGAGCCCTCATGGTGAGTTATGTGTCCTCAAGATGGGTTGTATGTTTGTCATGGTGGGTTATGTTAGATTTATGTTGTCTGTGTTAGATTTATGCTGTAAAGATGGACAAAAGGGTTATGTGTTCTAGGAAGCAAAAACAGGGAAAGTAGCTTAGATTGTTAAATGCAGAATTAGAAGATACCACTAAGAAATCAAATCGGGAGGAACTTCAGAATGAATCTGTATATATTAAGATCCAACCAGGCCATATGTGGATAAGAGCGTCGTACTTTCTTAATTTATGACGACTCAAGTCACAATTGGGGTGAGGTAGAGTAAACTATTAAGGTATGGCAGATGAGAGAGAAGTCAGGTACGACGGAACGTGTAGAAATTGAAATTGAAATTGAAATAAGTTTATTGAGGTAAAATACACACAAAGGGATGAGGTAGCTCAAGCTATTCTCACCCCATTCAGTACAACGTGTTAATATATACATAGACACACATCACAAATAAACATATTGCCAAACATTCTGAGAGGTAATGTAGAAATGTGATAATATGGATAGGGATGGGATCAAATGATGGGGGGAAAGGGCGCGAGAAAGGTGAGACAAGGGTGTACATACGCTGGCCTTGGGCTGGACGTCGGGGGAGTTGATGCTGAGCGAGCGACCTCGGATGAACCTCTCGTAGATCTTCTTTATAAGAAACATAACGACGAGCGGCAGCGGGGTGAACATCGTCGACGCCGCCGGCACCACTGCCAGAACAGAACACACGTAAGAGAAGGGATCTATCAGGAGAAAGTCATTACTTCTATGTACCACTTGGAAGGGATCAGGATAAGGATGTGGGACGAGGTGGGGGAAAAAAAACGCAAAGAGGTCTACTGGAGGTGCTCCAGCAACACGACAACATTTTCCTGAATTTACTTGAAGGCCATTATCTGTAGCGGCCTTGATGAAGACAGGAAGCCAGCGGCTTGTCAAATGTCCCCACCCCCAACTCCCATTATTCCTGAGGATTTTTTTTCCATGCGGGACCCTTGGACATGGTGCCGCCTGCGGCAGCTGTCACCACGAAGCACCGCTATGGTGCCGCTCCTGGAGTTGTGCCCAGTGTTGCACACCATGGTCTACCCTGTTGTTTACACAGGGTGAGTCTACTCTGTTGTTTACACAGGGTGAGTCTACTCTGTTGTTTACACAGGGTGAGTCTACTCTGTTGTTTACACAGGGTGAGTCTACTCTGTTGTTTACACAGGGTGAGTCTACCCTGTTGTTTACACAGGGTGAGTCTACTCTGTTGTTTACACAGGGTGAGACTACCCTGTTGTTTACACAGGGTGAGTCTACTCTGTTGTTTACACAGGGTGAGTCTACTCTGTTGTTTACACAGGGTGAGACTACTCTGTTGTTTACACAGGGTGAGACTACCCTGTTGTTTACACAGGGTGAGTCTACCCTGTTGTTTACACAGGGTGAGTCTACCCTGTTGTTTACACAGGGTGAGACTACTCTGTTGTTTACACAGGGTGAGACTACTCTGTTGTTTACACAGGGTGAGACTACCCTGTTGTTTACACAGGGTGAGTCTACTCTGTTGTTTACACAGGGTGAGACTACCCTGTTGTTTACACAGGGTGAGTCTACTCTGTTGTTTACACAGGGTGAGACTACCCTGTTGTTTACACAGGGTGAGTCTACTCTGTTGTTTACACAGGGTGAGTCTACTCTGTTGTTTACACAGGGTGAGTCTACTCTGTTGTTTACACAGGGTGAGTCTACTATGTTGTTTACACAGGGTGAGTCTACTCTGTTGTTTACACAGGGTGAGACTACCCTGTTGTTTACACAGGGTGAGTCTACTCTGTTGTTTACACAGGGTGAGTCTACCCTGTTGTTTACACAGGGTGAGACTACCCTGTTGTTTACACAGGGTGAGTCTACTCTGTTGTTTACACAGGGTGAGTCTACCCTGTTGTTTACACAGGGTGAGTCTACTCTGTTGTTTACACAGGGTGAGTCTACTCTGTTGTTTACACAGGGTGAGTCTACTCTGTTGTTTACACAGGGTGAGTCTACTCTGTTGTTTACACAGGGTGAGTCTACTCTGTTGTTTACACAGGGTGAGACTACCCTGTTGTTTACACAGGGTGAGTCTACTCTGTTGTTTACACAGGGTGAGTCTACCCTGTTGTTTACACAGGGTGAGTCTACTCTGTTGTTTACACAGGGTGAGACTACCCTGTTGTTTACACAGGGTGAGTCTACCCTGTTGTTTACACAGGGTGAGTCTACCCTGTTGTTTACACAGGGTGAGACTACTCTGTTGTTTACACAGGGTGAGACTACTCTGTTGTTTACACAGGGTGAGACTACCCTGTTGTTTACACAGGGTGAGTCTACTCTGTTGTTTACACAGGGTGCGACTACCCTGTTGTTTACACAGGGTGAGTCTACTCTGTTGTTTACACAGGGTGAGACTACCCTGTTGTTTACACAGGGTGAGTCTACTCCAGGGTGAGTCTACACAGGGTGAGTCTACTCTGTTGTTTACACAGGGTGAGTCTACTCTGTTGTTTACACAGGGTGAGTCTACCCTGTTGTTTACACAGGGTGAGTCTACTCTGTTGTTTACACAGGGTGAGTGTTACTCTGTTTTTACACAGGGTGAGTCTACCCTGTTGTTTACACAGGGTGAGTCTACTCTGTTGTTTACACAGGGTGAGTCTACCCTGTTGTTTACACAGGGTGAGTCTACCCTGTTGTTTACACAGGGTGAGTCTACCCTGTTGTTTACACAGGGTGAGTCTACTCTGTTGTTTACACAGGGTGAGTCTACCCTGTTGTTTACACAGGGTGAGACTACCCTGTTGTTTACACAGGGTGAGTCTACCCTGTTGTTTACACAGGGTGAGTCTACCCTGTTGTTTACACAGGGTGAGTCTACCCTGTTGTTTACACAGGGTGAGTCTACCCTGTTGTTTACACAGGGTGAGTCTACCCTGTTGTTTACACAGGGTGAGTCTACCCTGTTGTTTACACAGGGTGAGTCTACCCTGTTGTTTACACAGGGTGAGTCTACCCTGTTGTTTACACAGGGTGAGACTACCCTGTTGTTGTTTACACAGGGTGAGACTACCCTGTTGTTTACACAGGGTGAGTCTACCCTGTTGTTTACACAGGGTGAGTCTACTACCCTGTTGTTTACACAGGGTGAGACTACCCTGTTGTTTACACAGGGTGAGTCTACCCTGTTGTTTACACAGGGTGAGTCTACCCTGTTGTTTACACAGGGTGAGTCTACCCTGTTGTTTACACAGGGTGAGACTACCCTGTTGTTTACACAGGGTGAGTCTACTCTGTTGTTTACACAGGGTGAGTCTACCCTGTTGTTTACACAGGGTGAGTCTACCCTGTTGTTTACACAGGGTGAGTCTACCCTGTTGTTTACACAGGGTGAGTCTACCCCTGTTGTTTACACAGGGGCGAATCATGGAAATGTTGTCAGGTGTTACGGTGAATAAAAGCAAGACTGTACACGATACTGATCTATACTGATTATATAAAGAAAGAGTCAGTAGTGTATCGTGGCTGCACCAGCCCCCCCCCCCCGGTGTAGACGACGACACAAACACCAGCTGCGCCTTCTGCTGTGTCGACGCTGCCACACTGCTGCTGGTGCTAAGTGGCCCCGGAGACCCTCCGTCCATAGCGTGCCGTGTGCGCCTGGGGAGCGCAGAGCACACACCCGCGCTCACTCACGCTTCTCACAGCTGGCGAGGCTCACTCTCAGGTGTGTGGGGCTGACTGGTATTCCACACTATAAGCATCACGAGCAGGTGTGAGGTTATCTCCAGCTGTTGTCCTTTCTTGCATACAAATATCATATTTAGTCTTGGATGTATTTACAACGTTAATCTTGAGCAATGTTAAACGGTCACCAGGTCGTTAACCTCGACCTGCTCAGTTTCAAAATACAGTAAACCTTAATTGTATACACAAAGAAATCACATTGACGTGATGTATCAATGAGAACATGAGGAAGATTCAAGCCTGTGTTCTGGGTACTCCCAAGTAACGCCTTAGACTTAAACCACTACACGACTTCACATCGGGCCATTGTGTGAAAGCCTAGTTAGGCTTCAGAGGAAGCCTCGGGCACCCCGGAGGATTCGTTTGACTCCCTGGTTGCAATGCTATTGCCCATGTCGTGGTGTAGTGTCCCTCCTCCTCCTCCACGGATCACCGCCCTTTAGACAGCATCAACAATCGTCTTCCTTAGAATACAAGGTTTGTGGAATGTCGCACGAGATTATCGTTCTAGCCTCCACCAATGAACGTACAGCAGGGGGACTCCTCCCACCCCAGCAGCAGGAGACTCCTCCCACCCCAGCAGCAGGAGACTCCTCCCGCCCCAGCAGCAGGAGACTCCTCCCGCCCCAGCAGCAGGAGACTCCCACCCCAGCAGCAGGAGACTCCTCCCACCCCAGCAGCAGCAGGAGACTCCTCCCACCACAGCAGCAGGAGACTCCTACACCCCAGCAGCAGCAGGGGACTCCTCCCCCAACGAGGCTCACCTGCAGACAGCTCGCCGCCGGGGGAGGCGAGTGTCAGCTGGAGAATGATGAGGGCGATGGAGGCGTTCTGGACTCCCGTCTCCACGCTGATGGCGATCACCTCCGGGAGCGGCAGGCGGAAGACGAAGCCGAACACCATCCCCGCCAGGTACCCCAGAGACGGCAGCATGAACCCGGACACCACCATCTGTGGGGGAGACAGGTGGCTCATGAGGCAGGGATAGGGTGGGTGGGTAGGTCATGAGGCAGGGATAGTGTGGGTGGGTTGGTCATGAGGCAGGGATAGTGTGGGTGGGTTGGTCATGAGGCAGGGATAGCGTGGGTGGGTAGGTCATGAGGCAGGGATAGTGTGGGTGGGTAAGTCAAGAGGCAGGGATAGCGTGGGTGGGTAGGTCAGGAGGCAGGGATAGTGTGGGTGGGTAGGTCAGGAGGCAGGGATAGGGTGGGTGGGTAGGTCAAGAGGGAGGGATAGTGTGGGTGGGTAGGTCAAGAGGCAAGGGTAGGGTGGGTGGGTAGGTCAAGAGGGAGGGATAGTGTGGGTGGGTAGGTCAAGAGGCAGGGATAGGGTGGGTGGGTAAGTCAAGAGGCAGGGATAGCGTGGGTGGGTAGGTCAGGAGGCAGGGATAGGGTGGGTGGGTAGGTCAAGAGGGAGGGATAGTGTGGGTGGGTAGGTCAAGAGGCAAGGGTAGGGTGGGTGGGTAGGTCAAGAGGGAGGGATAGTGGGTGGGTAGGTCATGAGGCAGGGATAGGGTGGGTGGGTAAGTCAAGAGGCAGGGATAGCGTGGGTGGGTAGGTCATGAGGCAGGGATAGGGTGGGTGGGTAGGTCAAGAGGCAGGGATAGTGTGGGTGGGTAGGTCAAGAGGCAAGGGTAGGGTGGGTGGGTAGGTCAAGAGGGAGGGATAGCGTGGGTGGGTAGGTCAAGAGGCAAGGGTAGGGTGGGTGGGTAGGTCAGGAGGCAGGGATAGGGTGGGTGGGTAGGTCAAGAGGCAAGGGTAGGGTGGGTGGGTAGGTCAGGAGGCAGGGATAGGGTGGGTGGGTAGGTCAGGAGGCAGGGATAGGGTGGGTGGGTAAGTCAAGAGGCAGGGATAGTGTGGGTGGGTTGGTCATGAGGCAGGGATAGGGTGGGTGGGTAAGTCAAGAGGCAGGGATAGCGTGGGTGGGTAGGTCAGGAGGCAGGGATAGGGTGGGTGGGTAGGTCAAGAGGGAGGGATAGTGTGGGTGGGTAGGTCAAGAGGCAAGGGTAGGGTGGGTGGGTAGGTCAAGAGGGAGGGATAGCGTGGGTGGGTAGGTCAAGAGGCAAGGGTAGGGTGGGTGGGTAGGTCATGAGGCAGGGATAGGGTGGGTGGGTAGGTCAAGAGGCAAGGGTAGGGTGGGTGGGTAGGTCAGGAGGCAGGGATAGGGTGGGTGGGTAGGTCAAGAGGGAGGGATAGCGTGGGTGGGTAGGTCAAGAGGCAAGGGTAGGGTGGGTGGGTAGGTCATGAGGCAGGGATAGTGTGGGTGGGTAAGTCAAGAGGCAGGGATAGCGTGGGTGGGTAGGTCAGGAGGCAGGGATAGGGTGGGTGGGTAGGTTAAGAGGGAGGGATAGTGTGGGTGGGTAGGTCAAGAGGCAAGGATAGGGTGGGTGGGTAGGTCATGAGGCAGGGATAGGGTGGGTGGGTAGGTCAAGAGGCAAGGGTAGGGTGGGTGGGTAGGTCAGGAGGCAGGGATAGGGTGGGTGGGTAGGTCAAGAGGGAGGGATAGCGTGGGTGGGTAGGTCAAGAGGCAAGGATAGGGTGGGTGGGTAGGTCATGAGGCAGGGATAGGGTGGGTGGGTAGGTCATGAGGCAGGGATAGGGTGGGTGGGTAGGTCAAGAGGCAGGGATAGGGTGGGTGGGTAGGTCATGAGGCAAGGATAGCGTGGGTGTGTAGGTCATGAGGCAGGGATAGTGTGGGTGGGTAGGTCATGAGGCAGGGATAGTGTGGGTGGGTAGGTCATGAGGCAGGGATAGTGTGGGTCGGTAGGTCATGAGGCAGGGATAGCGTGGGTGGGTAGGTCATGAGGCAGGGATAGGGTGGGTGGGTAGGTCATGAGGCAGGGATAGTGTGGGTGGGTAGGTCATGAGGCAAGGATAGTGTGGGTGGGTAGGTCATGAGGCAGGGATAGCGTGGGTGGGTAGGTCATGAGGCAGGGATAGCGTGGGTGGGTAGGTCATGAGGCAGGGATAGTGTGGGTGGGTAGGTCATGAGGCAGGGATAGCGTGGGTGGGTAGGTCATGAGGCAGGGATAGCGTGGGTGGGTAGGTCATGAGGCAGGGATAGCGTGGGTGGGTAGGTCATGAGGCAGGGATAGGGTGGGTGGGTAGGTCCTGAGGCAGGGATTGTGTGGGTACCTTACCCTCCAGGTGTACCTTACCCTCCAGGTGTACCTTACCCTCCAGGTGTACCTTACCCTCCAGGTCTACCTTACCCTCCAGGTGTACCTTACCCTCCAGGTGTACCTTACCCCTCCAGGTCTACCTTACCCTCCAGGTCTACCTTACTCTCCAGGTCTACCTTACCCTCCAGGTCTACCTTACTCTCCAGGTCTACCTTACCCTCCAGGTCTACCTTACTCTCCAGGTCTACCTTACCCTCCAGGTCTACCTTACCCTCCAGGTGTACCTTACCCTCCAGGTGTACCTTACCTTCCAGGTCTACCTTACCCTCCAGGTGTACCTTACCCCTCTAGGTCTACCTTACCCTCCAGGTGTACCTTACTCTCCAGGTGTACCTTACCCTCCAGGTCTACCTTACTCTCCAGGTCTACCTTACCCTCCAGGTGTACCTTACCCCTCCAGGTCTACCTTACCCTCCAGGTGTACCTTACCCCTCTAGGTCTACCTTACCCTCCAGGTGTACCTTACCCTCCAGGTCTACCTTACCCTCCAGGTCTACCTTACTCTCCAGGTCTACCTTACCCTCCAGGTGTACCTTACCCTCCAGGTGTACCTTACCTTCCAGGTGAAGATTGAGAAGATGTAGTGGTAAGCGTAGATGCCGAAGGTGAACATGAATATCAGGTTGAAGGTAGAGACGGGCGTGATGGCCTTGGCACAGTACTTCACACTCCTGCAACACAGTCATTGGTTGAGATGCGCTGGCCAGCCTCGCATATATCACTGATATAAACCTCTATATCCTTCTCTCTCTCTCTCTCTATTTTATAAAGGTGTATCTGCCAGAAACTGCGCGTACTAGTGGCTTTACAAGATTGTAAATACCATTCTATGTATTCTCACAAACCCAGTGTACATTCTTGTATATAAATAAATAAATTAATAAATAAATGATTTCATCTCCCATTTGGTAACTAGTGTGCAGTGGCCTGCTCGTTACACCTAGTTTTATTACTTTACATTTACGTCACTTAAACTCTAGTAGCCATTTGTTGGAAAATTGTCGCATTTAAAGTGTTTTTCATTCATAAACACGGGGTTTGAGTGAATTATCGATCATTTGGCCCATGTAAGTAGGCTAAGGGGGGGGGGGGTAGAAATAGCCTAAGCTACTCTATCCCTTTGAGATGTATTTATTGCTTATCTCAATAAACATACTTGAACTTGAAGTAGGCCAGGTGAAAGGCGGCAATACTTTAATATGTAGTACAAAATGTCTTCCGTCACACCTGACATTCTCAAGGAAACGTGTGAGAGTGGTGAGGGAGACTGGTGGCAGTACGGACGAGCGACTCACTTTGGGTAGAATATCTGGAGGAGGACGCCGAAGCCACACGGGATGATGAGGGAGATGACGGTGACGGCGATGTCCCCGTACGGGATGACGAAGGGGGCGTCCTTCAGGATCACGGGACCCATCGCCAGCACCCACAGCGGCACCGTAACTGGCGGAACACACAGGGTACAGTGGTGCTGGGCCATATTATTATTATTTATTAATTGAGTCACACAGCTATGTGTTTGAGAAGAAAACGGGAGAGTGGGAGGAATGGATGAGGGAGAGGGAGGAAGGATTGTAGCAGGTCTCAAGGTAATATTTCCCTATCTTCTTGAGGTTATCTTGAGATGATTTCGGGGCTTTAGTGTCCCCGCGGCCCGGTCCTCGACCAGGCCTCCACCCCCAGGAAGCAGCCCGTGACAGCTAACTAACACCCAGGTATCTATTTTACTGCTAGGTAACAGGGGCATAGGGTGAAAGAAACTCTGCCCATTGTTTCTCGTCGACGCCCGGGATCGAACTCGGGACCGCAGGATCACAAGTCCAGCGTGCTGTCCGCTCGGCTCCCTTGTATATTACTACTGTTATCTCCCTGCCTTAACCGTCCTACGTTCCCTGTCGTCTGACATCTGAGCAAGATGGTGTCACACACCTGTGTTTGACCAGGATTAAACTCTGTTCAAGGTGCTTGTCTGTCATTATCTGGTCAGGTCAGGTCAGGTTATCTAGTACCAGTCTGCACGCACCCCCCCCTCTTTCATCCCCCCCAGGTGGGGTCCCCCCCCTCTAGATCTCCCCCGAGCCTCCCCTTGGAGGATATTGTTAATTGTTAAGTCCAGTAATAATTAAGATCAGTGACTTAATCATCAACCAGCTGAAGAAATTAATAATAATATATTAAGTGGTCTCAAGTAATTATGAATTGAAGAAAGCCTCCAAGTCTCGGCTTTTTATATCCCTGATCCCTCTCCTTAGGGTCAAGACCCCTGACCCCTCTCCTTAGGGTCAAGACACCTGACCCCTCTCCTCGGGGTCAAGACCCCTGACCCCTCTCCTCGGGGTCAAGACACCTGACCCCTCTCCTCAGGGTCAAGACACCTGACCCCTCTCCTCGGGGTCAAGACCCCTGACCCCTCTCCTCGGGGTCAAGACACCTGACCCCTCTCCTCGGGGTCAAGACACCTGACCCCTCTCCTCAGGGTCAAGACACCTGACCCCTCTCCTCGGGGTCAAGACACCTGACCCCTCTCCTCAGGGTCAAGACACCTGACCCCTCTCCTCAGGGTCAAGACACCTGATCCCTCTCCTCGGGGTCAAGACACCTGACCCCTCTCCTCGGGGTCAAGACACCTGACCCCTCTCCTCAGGGTCAAGACACCTGACCCCTCTCCTCAGGGTCAAGACACCTGACCCCTCTCCTCGGGGTCAAGACCCCTGACCCCTCTCCTCGGGGTCAAGACACCTGACCCCTCTCCTCGGGGTCAAGACACCTGACCCCTCTCCTCAGGGTCAAGACACCTGACCCCTCTCCTCGGGGTCAAGACACCTGACCCCTCTCCTCGGGGTCAAGACACCTGACCCCTCTCCTCAGGGTCAAAACACCTGACCCCTCTCCTCGGGGTCAAGACACCTGACCCCTCTCCTCAGGGTCAAGACACCTAACCCCTCTCCTCGGGGTCAAGACACCTGACCCCTCTCCTCGGGGTCAAGACACCTGACCCCTCTCCTCGGGGTCAAGACACCTGACCCCTCTCCTCAGGGTCAAGACACCTGACCCCTCTCCTCGGGGTCAAGACACCTGACCCCTCTCCTCGGGGTCAAGACACCTGACCCCTCTCCTCAGGGTCAAGACACCTGACCCCTCTCCTCAGGGTCAAGACACTCTTAATTATACTTATGAGGAGTGGTGGCAGTGTTTAACTTCCTTATGAGGCAGCATATAATTACCCTGGTAATATTCCGACAGATCTCCCATACGGTGCGCTAATTCTTCTCTCCTGTGGAATAAGTTGTGGGGAATCAATGGAAGGGAGCCGAGCGGACAGCACGCTGGACTTGTGATCCTGTGGTCCTGGATTCGATCCCAGGCGCCGGCGAGAAACAATGGGCAGAGTTTCTTTCACCCTATGCCCCTGTTACCTAGCAGTAAAATAGGTACCTGGGTGTTAGTCAGCTGTCACGGGCTGCTTCCTGGGGGTGGAGGCCTGGTCGAGGACCGGGCCGCGGGGACACTAAAGCCCCGAAATCATCTCAAGATAACCTCAAGAAGGGTGGACGCGGCTGTTTTTCACGGTATACTGGTGGTAAGGATATAATTATTAAGGGTATACTTAATAGCAGATGTTACATTAGTGGACGGGGCCAAAGACTTTTCCTACGCTTCTTCTCATCCCTACCACTTCCTTCCTCCTGTACTTAGTCTACCCTCTATCCCATCTTTCTATTGGTCATTACTCTCCATTTTCATTTTTTTTCCTCCATCCCTCTCCTTCCATCATCACCCCTTTCTCTCCTTAGGCTTCTCACACACCATCCTTCCTTTCACACATTTCCATACCCGCCCCTATCCCATTACAGGATGGATGAAGGAGGGATGGATGAAGGAGGGATGGATGAAGGAGGGATGGATGAAGGAGGGATGGATGAAGGAGGGATGGATGAAGGAGGGATGGATGAAGGAGGGATGGATGAAGGAGGGATGGATGAAGGAGGGAGGATGAAGGAGGGATGGATGAAGGAGGGATGGATGAAGGAGGGATGGATGAAGGAGGGATGGATGAAGGAGGGATGGATGAAGGAGGGATGGATGAAGGAGGGAGAGGAACATACTGAAGGCGAAGACAGTGGAGACGGTGGTCATCATGATGGAGAGGTTGAGGGAGCCGCCCAGGAGGTGGGTCCACATGTTGGAGGCGCCGCCGCCGGGGCTGCTGCCGTTGATGAAGAGCCCCAGGCGCAACAGCGAGTCGTCCGAGAACAGAATGAGACCCAACACGAAAGCGATCTGTTGTGGGCGGAGAATTAGAGTCCGTTTCAAATGGAAGAACCTCTTAACGGATGAGGTGAACCTCCTAACGTGGGAGTTGAACCTTTTACGTGGGAGGTGAATCTCTTATGTGGGAGGTGAACCTCTAAATGAGTTTGAAAAACATCTTAATTTCAAATGAGGATTTCTTACCAAAGGAGAGCAAAGCTACCTTTTTGGCCAATCTAGCATATGCCGCTGATGATATATTTTTGATGTGTGTGTGTGTATACTCATCTAATTGTGCTTGCGGGGGTTGAGCTTTGTCTCTTTGGTCCCGCCTCTCAACTGTCAATCAACTGGTGTACAGATTCCTGAGCCTACTGGGCTCTATCATATCTACATTTGAAACTGTGTATGGAGTCAGCCTCCACCACATCACTGCCTAGTGCATTCCACCTGTTAACTACTCTGACACTGAAAAAGTTTTTTCTAACGTTCCTTTGGCTCATTTGGGTACTCAGTTTCCACCTGTGTCCCCTTGTTCGCGTACCACCCGTGTTGAACAGTTTATCTTTATCTTCCCTGTCAATTCCTCTGATAATTTTATAGTTAGTGATCATGTCTCCCCTTACTCTGTCAGTGGTTCAGTTCCAGAAATCTTTCCTCGTAGCTGATACCTCTCAGCTCGGGGAAAAGTGTGTGTGTGTGTGTGTGTGTGTGTGTGTGTGTGTGTGTGTGTGTGTGTGTGTGTGTGTGTAAGAGCGATTGCTCTCTGCATCACAAGGAGTAAGATCTAGCTCTGGGGCTCCATCTCCTAGCTATTAGGTACCTGGTATTCTAATTGCTGGTGAGGTTCAAATGTGTTCTATGATACATGCTCCGGGTGTTCTCTCTCTCTCGTACCACGCTCACTATAAATAAGTACCTTCCTACATCTCTCTCATTGTGTCCTCCAGATTCCACCTGCGCCCTGTCCCTCTGTTACTTGTTGTGTTGAAAAACACTGCCCCATTCCATATCATCTGCTACCCATAGTATCTTGAAGGCTGCATATCTCTTCTGGTCTTCATGAGAGGTAGTGCTCTCAGGGGCATTACGTCCCCCGGGGCATCACTCACTAGGGATAAGGGGGGGGGGGAGTATAAAGCTCAGGGGCATCATTAATGAAGGGTATGGGGCATAATGCCTTGAAGCATTATTCGCGGAGTGCATGGAGATTGCAGTACCCCGAGGGATACCACTCAAAGGGCATACAGCGCTCCAAGGGGCATCATTCAAAGGGTACACAGTGCCCCAAGGGGGGCATTATCCACTAGGAACATATGGCGGCCCGAAGACATCACTCACCAGGGGCATGAGGACGTACTGACAGAAGAGGCCGATAATGGGTCCGACGGGCTTCTTGACGATTTCCTTCACCACCTGCAGGTCGAGGGTGGCGCCCATACAGAAGTAGAGGATGCCCACCAAGAAAGCAATGATGAAGGTGAAGATCTTAGTGATGTGTTGGTAGGAGAGGAGCACCGTCATCTCCATCGCGCCCTCTGCCACTGTCTGTCACAAGAACAACAATATGTAGTGTGAGTGTGTGTGTGCATTACCATGGTGACAGTGAACACATACCACTATGAATGCACTCCCAGCCACACATGTACAAGGTGCACTAGTGCACACACATCACCATAGCAAGACACTATTTTAAAAATTACGTGCATGCTTAAAGTACAACACAAGTATGCAGCACATTCGACTTGAGAATGGTCCAGGACGGACCGAAACGTCGTCGTCCCTTCACCTTCTAGTGTGTGGTCTGGTCAACATACTTTAGCCACGTTATTGTGACTCATCGCCTGCACAAGTATGCACAAAATAAGGAGAATTTACATAAATATTTACAGTTTTTGGAGCACGTGAGAATGACTGTTTGGTCTACTGCTGTTCTAAACGACATGATAAACGCAGCAGCAGCAGCAGCGTTCCAACTATAGTGGTCACTGGTGGCTACATAAAACAACGGTGTCTACCATTTGGACTCACCACATTATCTTCGTCATAAAGGACAAGGTGGAGTTTGTTGAAGCCGATGAATATGGCGGTAATGTTGAGGTGGCCGTAGTAGGTGATGCCGGAGTAGTGGTGTGTGAGGTTGTGGACGGAGGCGTCCTGCACCTCGCTCACCGACGCCACCTCTGACACCAGCTGCATGGAGACAGGTAATGTTAGACACGCCACCATCTGTGCGATGTTGTTTTACCATATACACTGACGGATCGCTCAATACAGCTACAGGGAGGGCAGGAAGTGCTGTTATTGCTCATCAGCCCGATGGCAGCACAATTCAAAGGAATATAAGAATTAGTAACTGGGTATCCACAATGCAAGCTGAGTTGGAAGCAATACTGGTAACACTCGAAATTATTCACAACACAAGTAGACAGCTTAATTATCTCCGACTCCCTTCCCTCACTACTATATTTACCCTCTTGCATACTTAGCAAGAGGGTAAATATAAAAATGTTGTGGATTCCTTCTCACATTGGCCTGCAGGAACATGACAAAGTTGACGCCCTTGCTAAGGTTGCAGTAAATAAAGACAGTATTGAACGGAATCTTGAGTTATCAAATAGGTCTCTTAAAAGTGTCATTAGACGAGAACTCCTGGATGGATTTGAAGAAAGTAGAACAGTGCAAACTGGAACTAGCAGGTCCATTGTTCATCACAATGAAATGTGTGAAGTAAAACATGTGTATGGGGCAAGTAACAAAGTCAGTAGACTAACAGACGTTGTCACAGCTCAAATAAGACTTGCCTACAAGTATCTGGCAGTTCGGCTTGTATAGGGATCTAGATGAAGTAAAGTGTAAAGTGTGTGGACAAAGACAGGGACACACACTCGAACACTATATCTTGGATTGTAGTAAAATTGAGCCATTTAGAGATAAATCTTAGCTCACGTTGTATAATATGGCAACCTATCTTATTACCAAGGATAAAATACCTGAAATCCTTGCACTGTATCCATACTTCGCTTCCAGTAAATAAACAGCATATGAGATTTAGAAAAAAGTAGTGTATTGTGAAGACTAATAATAATCAGCAGCTCCACAATGACTGTATTATCTTATGGACCAGATTAAGAGTTCATGATGCTCAACTACGAATCCGAAGCGCTGTCCACTCAGCTGTCAGGCCCCGTCTTAGCTAATAACTTCAAAGTTATTAGCTAAGTAGACATGAGAGCCAAAATGGCAACTTATTACTGCTAGTGACGCAGTAATAAGTGGCTAGTGGTGGTGGTTGACTTGTGGAACCAATTACCGCGTAATGTAACGGAAGTAGGATCCCTTGATTGTTTCAAGCGTAGGTTAGATATATATATGAATGAGATTGGGTGGTTATAAATAGGAGCTGCCTCGTATTGGCCAATAGGTGTTCTGTAGTTACCTTTATGATAGTGAATAAAGGATAACTGGTAACTCACTTATTAAAGTGAGGATAATACCAGCATTATCCTCACTCTAATTAGACCTAATTGAATTCCTCAGTTCAGGCAAAATTGTAATTAAAATTTATCAATAAAGATGTTAATAATAATAATGTTCTTAGTGTAGAGAGGCGACGAAGGTTTCTTAAACACCAGAGACGCAGAAGGCGTTTGGCAGCCGAGGTTTACCTTGTCGTCGACGGTGGCGGCGACGCGGGCGACGGGGCTGGTGGTGTTGGTGAACCAGGTGATGGTGTGGTGAGACCCGTCCAGCACCCCCAGCAGCGCCTCCGGGGAGAACCACACCGCTGGCTCCGCCTCCTGCACCTCCTCCTCCATCACCTCCTCCTGGGCGCACTGTTGTAGGGGCGAGACCAAGGACGTGACAACAAGGAGCCTACTCCAGAGTAGCACCACTCGTCCAACACACAACACCCGCTCAATAAATACATTCACATATACAAATAAACACGTACGCTAGAAAACATACAAAACAAGCAAATTGACAAACATAAAACAAGTACATTACCAGTGTTGCCAGAGAAAAGGGGAGGGGAAAATAGATCATTCATATTGATACGATCTGAAATATGGTCTGGTCAACATATTTCAGCCACGTTATTGTGACTCCTCGTCTGCAGAAAGGGAGGGAGTGTGAGGGGGACAAATGCAGTAGCTGATATCTTTGTAAGGTCAACTTTCCGCGAACGAGTTGACCAGCAAAGCACTGTGGCAACACTCCACAGTTCCGTAACAAATAACATTGACAAACCTGCCACGGACGGAGCCTAACCATCCAGCCCTCCAGAAACATTATTGACTGACAACTGGTGGCCAGAATATTGCATAAACTTGTCATTGTTCTATTCTGTATTTTAGACCTATGGATGACAGGCGTTCACTAGTATGAAGTTGGACATGATCAACCTATCAACGGTATAGGTTAAGTAATAATTGTAATTAAGAAGCAATAAGATGCTTATCTCAACATACTAAGAAGGTTAGGTGAGGTCGGTGTTTTCTATGAAGCTTTTCAAGGTAAACTAAAATATTCACAATCAATTAGTATGTCACATATGCAGTTATTAAATAAACCAATATTGACTATAAGCAAGTGCGAGAACGGGTTGCAACCTGAAACTCGCGTCCTCGATTGTTTTTATGAAAAACAAATTAAAGTAAAACAAATACCAATATGAGCAGCTGATGACATGATCATCACCTTAGTATGGGTCAGGACTCATCATCCTCGTCTGCTGATGCCCAACACCTACAGTGAGCAAGTGGGGGCACCATGAGTACAGTGAGCAAGTGGGGGCACCATGAGTACAGTGAGCAAGTGGGAGCACCATGAGTACAGTGAGCAAGTGGGGGCACCATGAGTACAGTGAGCAAGTGGGAGCACCATGAGTACAGTGAGCAAGTGGGAGCACCATGAGTACAGTGAGCAAGTGGGAGCACCATGAGTACAGTGAGCAAGTGGGAGCACCATGAGTACAGTGAGCAAGTGGGAGCACCATGAGTACAGTGAGCAAGTGGGAGCACCATGAGTACAGTGAGCAAGTGGGGGCACCATGAGTACAGTGAGCAAGTGGGAGCACCATGAGTACAGTGAGCAAGTGGGGGCACCATGAGTACAGTGAGCAAGTGGGAGCACCATGAGTACAGTGAGCAAGTGGGGGCACCATGAGTACAGTGAGCAAGTGGGAGCACCATGAGTACAGTGAGCAAGTGGGAGCACCATGAGTACAGTGAGCAAGTGGGAGCACCATGAGTACAGTGAGCAAGTGGGAGCACCATGAGTACAGTGAGCAAGTAGGAGCACCATGAGTACAGTGAGCAAGTGGGAGCACCATGAGTACAGTGAGCAAGTGGGAGCACCATGAGTACAGTGAGCAAGTGGGAGCACCATGAGTACAGTGAGCAAGTGGGAGCACCATGAGTACAGTGAGCAAGTGGGGGCACCATGAGTACAGTGAGCAAGTGGGAGCACCATGAGTACAGTGAGCAAGTGGGAGCACCATGAGTACAGTGAGGAAGTAGGAGCACCATGAGTACAGTGAGCAAGTGGGAGCACCATGAGTACAGTGAGCAAGTGGGAGCACCATGAGTACAGTGAGCAAGTGGGAGCACCATGAGTACAGTGAGCAAGTGGGAGCACCATGAGTACAGTGAGCAAGTGGGAGCACCATGAGTACAGTGAGCAAGTGGGAGCACCATGAGTACAGTGAGCAAGTGGGAGCACCATGAGTACAGTGAGCAAGTGGGAGCACCATGAGTACAGTGAGCAAGTGGGAGCACCATGAGTACAGTGAGCAAGTGGGAGCACCATGAGTACAGTGAGCAAGTGGGAGCACCATGAGTACAGTGAGCAAGTGGGAGCACCATGAGTACAGTGAGCAAGTGGGAGCACCATGAGTACAGTGAGCAAGTGGGAGCACCATGAGTACAGTGAGCAAGTGGGAGCACCATGAGTACAGTGAGCAAGTGGGAGCACCATGAGTACAGTGAGCAAGTGGGAGCACCATGAGTACAGTGAGCAAGTGGGAGCACCATGAGTACAGTGAGGAAGTGGGAGCACCATGAGTACAGTGAGCAAGTGGGAGCACCATGAGTACAGTGAGCAAGTGGGAGCACCATGAGTACAGTGAGCAAGTGGGAGCACCATGAGTACAGTGAGGAAGTGGGAGCACCATGAGTACAGTGAGCAAGTGGGAGCACCATGAGTACAGTGAGCAAGTGGGAGCACCATGAGTACAGTGAGCAAGTGGGAGCACCATGAGTACAGTGAGCAAGTGGGAGCACCATGAGTACAGTGAGCAAGTGGGAGCACCATGAGTACAGTGAGCAAGTGGGAGCACCATGAGTACAGTGAGCAAGTGGGAGCACCATGAGTACAGTGAGCAAGTGGGAGCACCATGAGTACAGTGAGCAAGTGGGAGCACCATGAGTACAGTGAGCAAGTGGGAGCACCATGAGTACAGTGAGCAAGTGGGAGCACCATGAGTACAGTGAGCAAGTGGGAGCACCATGAGTACAGTGAGCAAGTGGGAGCACCATGAGTACAGTGAGCAAGTGGGAGCACCATGAGTACAGTGAGCAAGTGGGAGCACCATGAGTACAGTGAGCAAGTGGGAGCACCATGAGTACAGTGAGCAAGTGGGAGCACCATGAGTACAGTGAGCAAGTGGGAGCACCATGAGTACAGTGAGCAAGTGGGAGCACCATGAGTACAGTGAGCAAGTGGGAGCACCATGAGTACAGTGAGCAAGTGGGAGCACCATGAGTACAGTGAGCAAGTGGGAGCACCATGAGTACAGTGAGCAAGTGGGAACACCATGAGTACAGTGAGCAAGTGGGAGCACCATGAGTACAGTGAGCAAGTGGGAGCACCATGAGTACAGTGAGCAAGTGGGAGCACCATGAGTACAGTGAGCAAGTGGGAGCACCATGAGTACAGTGAGCAAGTGGGAGCACCATGAGTACAGTGAGCAAGTGGGAGCACCATGAGTACAGTGAGCAAGTGGGAGCACCATGAGTACAGTGAGCAAGTGGGAGCACCATGAGTACAGTGAGCAAGTGGGAGCACCATGAGTACAGTGAGGAAGTAGGAGCACCATGAGTACAGTGGGGAAGTAGGAGCACCATGAGTACAGTGAGGAAGTAGGAGCACCATGAGTACAGTGAGGAAGTAGGAGCACCATGAGTACAGTGAGGAAGTAGGAGCACCATGAGTACAGTGAGCAAGTGGGAGCACCATGAGTACAGTGAGCAAGTGGGAGCACCATGAGTACAGTGAGCAAGTGGGAGCACCATGAGTACAGTGAGGAAGTGGGAGCACCATGAGTACAGTGAGCAAGTAGGAGCACCATGAGTACAGTGAGCAAGTGGGAACACCATGAGTACAGTGAGGAAGTGGGAGCACCATGAGTACAGTGAGCAAGTGGGAGCACCATGAGTACAGTGAGCAAGTGGGAACACCATGAGTACAGTGAGGAAGTAGGAGCACCATGAGTACAGTGAGCAAGTGGGAGCACCATGAGTACAGTGAGGAAGTAGGAGCACCATGAGTACAGTGAGGAAGTAGGAGCACCATGAGTACAGTGAGGAAGTAGGAGCACCATGAGTACAGTGAGGAAGTAGGAGCACCATGAGTACAGTGAGGAAGTAGGAGCACCATGAGTACAGTGAGGAAGTAGGAGCACCATGAGTACAGTGAGGAAGTAGGAGCACCATGAGTACAGTGAGGAAGTAGGAGCACCATGAGTACAGTGAGGAAGTAGGAGCACCATGAGTACAGTGAGGAAGTAGGAGCACCATGAGTACAGTGAGGAAGTAGGAGCACCTGAGTACAGTGAGGAAGTAGGAGCACCATGAGTACAGTGAGGAAGTAGGAGCACCATGAGTACAGTGAGGAAGTAGGAGCACCATGAGTACAGTGAGGAAGTAGGAGCACCATGAGTACAGTGAGGAAGTAGGAGCACCATGAGTACAGTGAAGAAGTAGGAGCACCATGAGTACAGTGAGGAAGTGGGAACACCATGAGTACAGTGAGGAAGTGGGAACACCATGAGTACAGTGAGGAAGTAGGAACACCATGAGTACAGTGAGGAAGTAGGAACACCATGAGTACAGTGAGGAAGTAGGAACACCATGAGTACAGTGAGGAAGTAGGAGCACCATGAGTACAGTGAGGAAGTAGGAACACCATGAGTACAGTGAGGAAGTGGGAACACCATGAGTACAGTGAGGAAGTGGGAACACCATGAGTACAGTGAGGAAGTAGGGAGAAACATGAATGGTAAGCCATTGAAAGAAACTGATCAAAACAACACTATATAGACAACTTGGTACTGTGAGGGTGAGGTACAGAGAGCAGAAGGTACCACCGTTGTACCTTGTTGTACCTTGTACTAGGGACAAGAAGGCTAGCATGCGGGTGAGCTCTCCGGAAACAGGTATTGGAGACAGTGTGTGTGTATAACATGCACAACATTATGACTGAAAAAGGGAAAAAGTTTATAGTTTTTATCAGCGTTGATGGCAATAATATAGGTAAAAATAGACAAATTTAATATGGTAATTGAGTTAAATTAGAAGTAGAGAAGAACCCTGATTATAAATGAAATTTTGCCTACAGTAGCTGACAATGACTGAGAAGAATGAATGAATTTGAGCAAAATCATCATGAACTCCAGTCGTTCATTCGTCTCATTATATAACAAAATTTATATGAAACAAATACTTAGCTGCGACACTTACCACCGCAGAAGCCATCAACACAATCACCACCACCTTCCACAACCTTCCATCTCTACTGTCCATTCTTCCCCTGGGTCGGATGGTCCTTGAAGTTGGTGACGCTTCTCTCTCTCTCTTGGAAAGGTGGTAAGAGATGTTTCAGCTTCCAAAGTTATGCAAGAGGGGGATACTGCAATTTCCAGATGTATGTAAGAGAGATGATGCAGCTTCCAGAGGTACGTAGGAGAGATGATGGAGCTTCCAGAGGTACGTAAGAGATGATGGAGCTTCCAGAGGTACGTAAGAGATGATGGAGCTTCCAGAGGTACGTAGGAGAGATGCTGTAGCTTCCAGAGGTACGTAGGAGAGATGCTGCAGCTTCCAGAGGTACGTAAGAGATGATGCAGCTTCCAGAAGTACGTAAGAAAGATGATGGAGCTTCCAGAGGTACGTGGGAGAGATGCTGCAGCTTCCAGAGGTACGTAAGACAGATGATGCAGCTTCCAGAGGTACGTAGGAGAGATGATGGAGCTTCCAGAGGTGCCCGAGGATGGCAAGTACCACCGACGATGGAGCAAGGAAATTCTGTGTATGGTTCAGGAGAAGTGCAGAGGCCACACAAGCATGATTTTTAGGGTTCCCTGCAAAGAAAGAGAATGACATGACATGAAGATCGAGTTGCTTGGTACTGAAGAAGTAAAATGGTGAGAAATAATAGGTATTTGTGGGAGAAGGATTTAGCTTGATTAATATGTCATATTTTAGTTTAACGTATCATATCCCAGCTTGGTTGATATGTCATATCATAGTTTGATAGATATATCATATTCTAGAGAGAGAGAGAGAGAGAGAGAGAGAGAGAGAGAGAGAGAGAGAGAGAGAGAGAGAGAGAGAGAGAGAGAGAGAGAGAGAGAGAGAGAGAAAGAGCTGTTTCCTTAAGACCTCGGCAATATAAAAGATAATATAAAAGATATCAAATAAAGATTTAGTAATAACTAACTCAGTACGGAAAGGGCTTTGTGTAAAGGTAATGTTTGTGGTGTGGGAGGAGAGATGACGTCACACTGGGAACAAAGAGGATCACACTAGGTAAACACACCTTCCCATCCTGTCATTGAGGGATGTAAAGTGGCTGCTATGACTCCTAGATAACACAAGACATATTGCCTTCACTCTCACCATTGTGTCATACAATTAAAAAAATAATAAAAATGTAGGATACTTTTTTAATCTCTCGCGGACGTAGTTTGCTTGACGCACTGAAATGACAGATAACAACTGTTCAAGGTTTTGTTTGTTCCTGAGGACAGCTGATCCACCCCCAGTGCTGTGTGCCCACATACTCACCTACATGTACTCAAATAGATGTACTTCAAGGGTTATCTTGAGGTTATCTTGAGATGATTTCGGGGCTTTTTCTAGTGTCCCTGCGGCCCGGTCCTCGACCAGGCCTCCACCCCCAGGAAGCAGCCCGTGACAGCTGACTAACTCCCAGGTACCTATTTACTGCTAGGTAACAGGGGCATTTAGGGTGAAAGAAACTTTGCCCATTTGTTTCTGCCTCGTGCGGGAATCGAACCCGCACCACAGAATTACGAGTCCTGCGCGCTATCCACCAGGCTGCGAGGCCCCATGACTAGGGTCGACTATTAGCTCACATAAACTTCGTCTTTCCTTTTTACCAATCAATCAATATAGTAACTTTCATTCCTTATGTTTCTTGTCTTTTCTTTACGTAATACTTTTGGATTTCGAAGTTTTCGTGATTGCTTTTCTTTTCGAAGTCCGCGATGCATTTATGTGTCACACACTGAAGTTCTTCCGACGTCTCGTTGCTTCGTCTGCATCAACAGTCTCCACCCGAAGCCTCTTGTCCTTCCTTATGTCATTTTATACATTGATTTTGTGTGCATTTTATGTTCTTGTCACCTACGATGCTATCACGTCTCTCCAACGTGATAAGCCTGAGTTCTCTCAGCCTTTCCTTGGAGTCCCTTCAGCCAGGGCTGAAGGGAAGGGACTGGACCCCTTACTAAATCAAATATTGCTCAGCGTCCAAAGTAGACCTTTCCCTCCCTCCCTCCCTCCCTCCTCCCTTCGCGACCCACGACCCTCGCCTACTTAAAGCAGGAACTCACTACGACCTTCACCCAGCCCTCGCTCACTGCAACTCCTGCCCACCACCACCACACTCACCAACTACCACCACTCATCCATGACCACCTTTGACAACCACAGCCCATAGCTCTTTTTCACGCTCGATGTCCTCAATGAGTTTAATTCCCGTTGTCGGGGACAGGAACCTTGTATATATACATACTTTAAGCTAGTATCGAGGTCCCCCCCCCCCCCCGCAAGGTGGAACTACAGACCCGCCCCAGGATGAAACACCACAACAGTTGACTAACTCCCGGTTACCTATTAACTGCTAGGTGAACAGGTCATTAGTTGAAAGGAAACCTGCCCAATCATTTCTATCACGCCCAGGGATCGAACCGGGATATATTTCAGTAGTGAAAGACCACATCAAATGCAAAGGCGAAAGGTATTTTTAAAGTCTCGAGATATCCACAAGAAAACTTATTTACGCTGAGAATTTACATAAAAGTAATGGGTTGATTTTGATCGACTTGAGAATGGTTCAGGACGGACCGAAACGTCGTCGTCCCTTCACCGTCTAGTGTGTGGTCAGGTCAACATAATTTAGCCACGTTATTGTGACTCATCGCCTGCACCGGGTTGATTTTGTTACTTCACTTGCGTGTCAGTCAGTGGTAATCAGAGAGACATATGGTCAACTGAAAGACGTTCCTAGCGCTTCAGAACGCCGCTAGTTCATGCGGCCGTCCTCGTAATAGAACGTCGCCTTTTGAATAAAAAATTATAGCGGCTCGCGAAATTGACATACTGTACCGTTTTCTGTTCTGGGTCGCTTCCCTAAATTATGAAATGACTTATGAAATGCTTGGTCCAAAGTCCTGGCAGTCCGGGAGACATCTCCCGTCATGCAGGGTGCAGTCACACCTCCACAGATCTTCAGTATCAGCTCTTGATACTGGTAATGGCTCAAAAGGGCCACCACTTACGGGCTATTCATGCCCGTGCCACCTTTTGGGTGACTTAATCTTCATCAATCAATCATCCTGGCAGTCCGCACCTTAGCTCTTCCCAGTAGCAGTGGGGCCAGTAGTCTGGGCTGTGGAAGATCGTGTGTTTACCACAAACGGGACTAACCTGTCCTCAGTGAGGAGGGAGGGGGGGGGGGGGGCCGCGCCAAATCAACCTTCGTGGTAATCACCTCAAAATGCACTACACAATTAGTGCTTTTATGTACCTCTTACCCTTGGTTTGTTAGGGTAGGTTAGGGCAACGTGTTGCGTCCCCAAACATGTTAAATATTAAACGTAGTCGTGCTTGAACATCCCCTTGAATTTGAAATTAAAGTGAGCCTTGGCATTGGGGCTTATCAAGGAAAAGGAGTATACTAGAGAATTAGTCTATATTAAAGCCTGGTTAGTTACCAGGCTTAACTGGTAGTTATTTACCAGATATGAAGTTATATCTGTACAAGGATACAGATATAACTTGAGTTATAACCTGTACCTCAAATACAGCTATATTTGTTTAGGATAAAGTTCAATTGCCAGTTTACCAACAGACTATTATTGGAACCTTAATAAGTGTTCAGAGCATCACAACTTTCTAGATAGGTATCCAGGTGGTGTAACGAGGGAGGAAGTCCACGCAGTATAATAACTTAGGCCTGAGGACAGGCCACAATTAACACATGGGCACTAGGCTTAAGCTTACACCGATACACACTCTTAGTTGATTCACGCAGAACTCAGATACATATCAGCTGTGAATGCTCGTGGCTTGTTGTGGACACTTGTGCGCTGGACGGCAGGCGTAGGGTCGTTGAGGGCGGCTGAAGATAGTGTGAGACAAAAGTACGACTTTTGAATCTGAATTGACAGTGACTTCCAGTTATGCGGGTCTCTTCTCAATATGGCGCGGAGCCAGCCGCTGGGGTGATATTCGCGCCCTCCTCGACGTGGGCTGCACTAGGCTTCCTTCGTCTCGTGTCCAAATGCTTTCTCTAGCTACTTAGGATGAGAACCAATCAGAACTTGTATAGGTTATGGATTCTCACTAGTGATAGGCGGGAGCGTTGAGTACTTGACTTACGGTGGTACTCCTGCTTCCACCAGCAGTCCGTGGTGTAGTGGTAAGACACTCGCCTGGCGTTTCGCGAGCGCTTTGTCCTGGGTTCGTATGCTGGCCGGGGAGGATTTACTGGGGGGTCAATCCTTAACTGTAGACTCTGTTTACCCAACAGTAAAATGGGTACCTGGTCGCCTTTCGCCAAGATGCTCGGGAACCTGTGCACCAGCCGATTGGAGATTGAGAGGCGGGACCAAAGAGCTCAAGCTTTTCCTTCAAAAGTACAATAGTTGTTTACTAGATGAGAACACTATCCACCTCAAATGTGACCCATCACCTCCCCCACTCCACACGTCTCCTCAAGTGACAGACAACAATTTTCCAACCAACATCGATAGTTCTTCAAGTATAAACGATTTCCTTAACAACTACCACCTCGACTTCTGCATTTGTAAATAACACCCCTCCTACACCCCTCTTCCCTTTCAAATGTAACTCGCCCCTCCACACACTCACCCCTCAGGTGTAAGTCACCCCCCCTCCCCCCCACACCATACGTCAGCACCAATTTACTGAGAGTCACCTGTCCCAACACCTCGCCCTGTTCTCTCTAGTGAAAGTCCCGGCCAGCATGTGTGTAAGTTATCTCCTCCCTTACCCCACCCGACTCCCAGGAAGTCCACCTGGAGGGCTGCTCACTCTACAAAACTCAAACGTCATTATGTACACACCACTGACGACACTGGCCTACACCAGTGCGCACGCACGCCCCCCTCCCCTTCCCCCCCCCCCCCTCACACACCTTTTTACACAGGTGGCCTCTGAAGCAGGCGACTTCCAACTCCTTTTAGCAGGCTGAGAGTATTTCCTTCTTATAGCATATGTCAAGCCTTACCATACTAGTTTTCCCCCCTAAAACATTTTGTGTTATGGCTGTTCAGGTAATTTATCACACACGCTAAACTCAGCCTGTGAGAGGCGCTGGAAAAGTTTACAGATGAACATAATGGGCTCAGTTACTGTACACCAAAATGTATTTAATTAAGCAAGTTGACGCTTTGATAAACCAGTAACATAGTTTATTAACATACATGTTATCAGTAGTCATAAACTTATACAATTAACACAGCTGTGATCCCTGGTGGTCCTAACACAGTTGTGACTCCAAGTGGTCCTAACACAGCTGTGATCCCAAGTGGTCCTAACACAGCTGTGATCCCAAGTGGTCCTAACACAGCTGTGATCCCAAGTGGTCCTAACACAGCTGTGATCCCAAGTGGTCCTAACACAGCTGTGATCCCAAGTGGTCCTTACACAGCTGTGATCCCAAGTGGTCCTAACACAGCTGTGATCCCAAGTGGTCCTAACACAGCTGTGATCCCAAGTGGTCCTAACACAGCTGTGATCCCAAGTGGTCCTAACACAGCTGTGATCCCAAGTGATCCTAACACAGGGAGTGGGAGTTCTCGTTTATTATGAGTCCCATCGTGTGATACTATCATTATTTCTTTTCATTTAAGGATGTATACTGGGGAGTGTACTCTGTTAGTATACATGGATAGTATATTTGTCCCTGTGACTAATGTACGTGGTGGCTAAGGTAAACCGTTTACATTTACGGTGTTGTAAATTAGGTTTGTAACGTGGTATCTGTGAGTTAATTACAGCAGCCTTGCTTGTGCTGTTATCTCTGTATTTGTAACTTTGTATCATTGTTTAAATTTTATGTAGTCTGAATCTCGTTTGTTGGCCACTGTAGCTGTTGTTCCGCAGATATAACATTAAGAATTACGTGTTGTATACGGGACTGAGAGGGTTGCCTCCTAGTGTGATAACACCAGCCAATAATAATGGGGGCTTGTCTGTGATCTGAAAACAAAGATCACTGTATGTTTGACCATATTTGTTAATGCCCAGTTTGGTGTTATCTTGTTTGGTCAGTGGTCATTGTTATTTTTTACTTGATTTCTTGTCTTGGATTTTGCTTAAAGCTTTGTAACTGTGTCTTTCAGTGTTGCCATATTTGCCGAATGATGCAACATTGAAATATACGATTATTTCACATTTGCCAAGGTGCCCATCTCTAGTTAAGCTATTTGCCTATGAAAAGTCTAATTTAATTTCACTGGGAAAACATTACGGTTTGAACATTCAGAGGAACATGTCTTAGAAGAAACTTAAATCACATTATGTCTCTAAGACATAATTTCTTTGCTCTTTACACAACTTGACCAAATTTGGATAAGGATTTATTGTCACAATTATTCTCTTATTCTTTTGTCATGCCACAAATTGTGTTAACTATCTCGAAGATATTTTGGAGTAATATATGATTTACATTGATTAGTGCAAGTATGCTGTAGTCTTGAAGACTTGAATTTGAAGGCCCATCAATGCCGGGAGTGTTACCAAGGCCGCCACAACCTTACTGATCAACCAGCAAGTATACTTCAACTCTGGACATAGTTCAAGATTGATTGATTGATTGATAAAGATTAAGCCACCCAAGAGGTGGCACGGGCATGAATAGCCCGTAAGTGGCGGTCCTTTTGAGCCATTACCAGTATCAAGAGATGATACTAGAGATCTGTGGAGGTGCGACTGCACCCTGCGTGACGGGAGATGTCTCCCGGACCAAATGGTGACCAAATGGTGATAGTTCAAGACTAAAGCAAGCTTGATATACTGTTTAAACAACAAGAGGTGTGATACCGCCTTTGGTGTATAAATGATTAGTAATATTTTGGTAACTCACTGTGATAATTTTTCTTGGCAACTAGAATACATTCGACTCAGCGTGATGATGTAGGCGGGTCGTCATTTCATTGGTTGTGTTATGTGTGTGTGCTACTGGTGTTTACAGTGCTCATTGGCGTAGATTATTGGCGAGCGACGGAGTGCTCCTCCCAGTGTTCCCCAAGCTCATTGTTGCCTGTGCTAAGGTTCTAATATTCAACCCGTTCTCGCACTTGCTTATAGTCAATATTGGCTTATTTAATAAGTGCATATGTGACATACTAATTGATTGTGAATATTTTAGTTTACCTTGAAAAGCTTCATAGAAAACACCGACCTCACCTAACCTTCTTAGTATGTTAAGATAAGCATCTTATTGCTTCTTACTTACAATTATTACTTAACCTATACCGTTGATAGATTAAGTAATAATTGTAAATAAGAAGCAATAGGATGCTTATCTTAACATACTAAGAAGGTTAGGTGAGGTCGGTGTTTTCTATGAAGCTTTTCAAGGTAAACTAAAATATTCACAATCAATTAGTATGTCACATATGCACTTATTAAATAAGCCAATATTGACTATAAGCAAGTGCGAGAACGGGTTGAATATTACGATGGATCTCCTGTAGCAGCGTTTAGGGCATTATATTACTGAGGAGAGAGTTACCATTTTTTTATATTATATATTAAACACTATTCTGTGGTTTGGTTACTTTGTGTGATAAGGTGGAGTGGATGATGCCATGCACTGTATCTTTGGACTCACTGATGATTACTGACATTACATAATACAGCGGCAATATCCTCTCAACTTCAGAATTGCTGTCCAGTTTTCAGGTACTACAAATAATAACTGGACCAAAGAGCCAGAGCTCAACCCCCGCAAACACAACTAGGTGAGTACAACTAGGTGAGTACACACACACACACATACACACGATATTGCAATCAAAGCGAAAAAACAGCCTAAGTTACTACACAGTCATATAAGAAGAAAAATGTTGGTGAACGACCAAGTGACAAGACTAAGGAAGACAGAGGGGGGCATATACTGAAAGTGACAAGGTAACCTGCGAGGCACTGAATGCCAGTTTCCACGGAGTGTTCACTACCGAGCCTGAGCAGCTCCCATTGTTGGAAGGGGTTACCCTAGATGAAAGACTATCAGATATAGAGGTGACAGCAGAGGAGGTAATGAAACAGTTGACAACTCTAGATGCAACTAAAGCAGTTGGACCAGACAAAGTATCACCGTGGATACTAAAAGAAGCAGCGCAGGCCCTCAGCGTGCCTCTGGCAATGATCTTTAATGAGTCACTTATGTCGGGAGAATTGCCCAGTTGCTGGAAGAAGGCAAATGTCGTGCCGATCTTCAAGAAAGGCGATAGGGAGGAGGCACTTAACTATAGACCTGTATCACTGACAAGCATCCCCTGTAAAATACTGGAAAGAATAATTAGGCTACGACTGGTTGCACACCTGGAGAACATTAGGTTTGTGAACAAACATCAACATGGGTTCTGGACAGGGAAATCGTGCCTAACAAACCTTCTGGAATTCTATGATAAAATAACGAGGATAAGACAGGACAGAGATGGTTGGGCAGACTGCATATTTCTGGACTGCCAAAAAGCCTTTGATACAGTACCGCACATGAGACTGCTGTTCAAACTCGAGAGGCAGGCGGGGGTGGGGGGAAAGGTCCTAGCATGGATAAGCAACTACCTAACAGGAAGGAGCCAAAGAGTTACGGTAAGGGGCGAGAAGTCGGACTGGTGAACAGTAATAAGTGGAGTACCACAAGGATCGGTGCTGGGACCAATTCTATTTCTTGTATATGTTAACGACATGTTTACAGGCGTAGAGTCCTACATGTCGATGTTTGCGGATGACGCAAAGTTGATGAGAAGAGTTGTGACAGATGAGGATTGCAGGATCCTCCAAGAGGACCTAAACAGGTTGCAGAGATGGTCAGAGAAATGGCTACTGGAATTCAACACGAGCAAATGTAAAGTTATGGAAATGGGACTAGGAGATAGGAGACCAAAGGGACAGTACATAATGAAGGGGAACAGCCTACCTGTGACGATGCGCGAAAGAGACCTGAGTGTGGACGTAACACCCAAGCTATCTCCTGAGGCACATATAAATAGGATAACGACAGCAGCGTACTCTACACTGGCAAAAGTTAGAACATCATTCAGAAACCTAAGTAAGGAGGCATTTAGGGCGCTTTACACTGCCTACGTGAGGCCAGTCTTAGAGTATGCCGCCTCATCATGGAGTCCCCATCTGAAGAAGCATATAATGAAACTGAAAAAGGTTCAGAGGTTTGCAACGAGACTCGTCCCAGAGCTACGAGGGATGGGGTATGAGGAGCGCCTGAGGGAACTGTGCCTTACGACACTAGAAAGAAGAAGGAAGAGGCGGGGGGGACATGATAGGAACGTATAAAATACTCAGAGGGATTGACAGAGTGGACATAGACGAAATGTTCACACGGAATAGTAACAGAACGAGGGGACATGGATGGAAGCTGGAAACTCAGATGAGTTACAGAGATGTTAGGAAGTTTTCTTTTAGCGTGAGAGTAGTGGGAAAATGGAATGCACTTCAGGAACAGGTTGTGGAAGCAAATACTATTCATAATTTTAAAAGCAGGTATGATAGGGAAATGGGACAGGAGTCATTGCTGTAAACAACCGATGCTCGAAAGGCGGGATCCAAGAGTCAATGCTCGATCCTGCAGACACAACTAGGTGAGTACACAACTAGTTGAGTACACACACACACACACACTACTGCTTGTAAGTAGTGTATTCCCCTAGTTGTATTTACCTAGTTGTGCTTGCGGGGGTTGAGCTCTGCTCTTTCGGCCCATCTCTCAACTGTTACTAACTACTAGCTAATTTTTTTTTCACACACAAGCCCTAGGAAGCAGCTCGTAACAGCTGTCTAACTCCCAAGCACCTATTTACTGCTAGGCAACAGGGGGCATCAGGATGAAAGAAACTCTGCCCATTTGTTTCCGCTTAGTCCGGGAATCGAACCCGGGCCACATGATTACGAGTCCCGCGCGCTGTCCACTCAGCTTCCAGACTCCTACCCTGTGTGTATGTGTTATTGTTCAACCGCAAGTGAGCAGACAAGCGGAGACCAGGACGCCGCAAAGGGAATAAGTTCATCGTTCCGCTGAAGGAAACGGGGAAACGGGTCACTTTGCCGCGGTGGAACAGCAGGTCTAGACAGTAAGTTTTTTTTTTTTTTTTTTGAGATATATACAAGAGTTGTTACATTCTTGTACAGCCACTAGTACGCGTAGCGTTTCGGGCAAGTCCTTAATCCTACGGTCCCTGGAATACGATCCCCTGCCGCGAAGAATCGTTTTTTCATCCAAGTACACATTTTACTGTTGCGTTAAACAGAGGCTACAGTTAAGGAATTGCGCCCAGTAAATCCTCCCCGGCCAGGATACGAACCCATGACATAGCGCTCGCGGAACGCCAGGCGAGTGTCTTACCACTACACCACGGAGACTGCTAGGAAGTCGAAGGAATCTGCTAGGAAGTGAAGGAATCTTGGCCGAGAGAACCATGTAAAGTACCTTCAGCGGCCTTCAAGAAGTCCCTCAACATATTTACTGTTTGATGGCCATTTGTGAGTACAGGAACAAGTATAGTCGGTGGTGACTTGGAGTGGAGGGTACCGTCACTAGACTGGCTGGCGCCCAGGTGGTACCTCCGGCTCAGCCATTTACAGTGTGTTGACCCACTGACCAGACACGCGTCTTACAATTTCCGGGTTGGGTTCCGGGAATACCGAGGGGAGAGCTCTCCTTCACGGGACTGGCATTGAGTAACGCAAGATCATCATTAATTCCAATTCTTGTCTTATGAAACTTTCAGCGTCTCCTGGAGCCTCCAGAACTCTCAGAAAGCTCTGCATTCTTCGAAGAATGCAGAGCTCGATTCTGACTAAATAATGCACGAAGTCGAAATTGAGACTGATTTCGAAAATGAATGCACAAAGTGGAGCCTGCATCAGGTATGACCGAGCCGCCCGGGCGTGGGGCGGGCTCCCACACCCGCTATACCCTAACTGCTCTTAAAACCAAACTGCCTCAGACATCTCCACTACCACAGTGTGATAAAATCGTGAAAAGGCGGGTCAGGCTTCAGGCTCCTGTAGTCTGCAACTCTACAAATAATATAAATATATAAGCTCTGAGCAACTGCTGGAGTGTTATGGCTGACTGGCCTCCTCTTAAAGCTTGGCGTCACGTGAACATTGTAGAGTGTTTCAAGTTTTGTCTTCAAAGTAGGAAATTCAAAATGATATAATTTGTAAATAACTGTCATTTGTAGAACACAGCATACAACACGGGGCATTTGTTGACACTTGTGTTGCATAGTAACAAAGATTAAGACTTGTATTGCATACCTGAGCAGCTGCTGTTCAACTTAACACTCTGGTCTAAATAACATCTACAAGTGAGCTTTGCCATTTGGGAAGTTTTACGATTGTATTTGTGTTCTGTGAGGTAAGAAGACTTAAATGGTTGCTTGCATTGGTTTTAGTGCTCCTGTTCTAACGTTAAAGCGCTTTGGGCTCCAGAGTGTGGCCAGGCTTGACGAAACGACCAAAAGATGTATATATAATTATTATACCCTTTATTTGACGCCTCGCCGGACGTATGGGTCATGGTTAAGGTTCGAAACTTAAAAACAAAACACTGTTAATATACGAGCTGAGCTTAAGTATAGTTTCAATTTCTGTAGCTCTCTCCCCCTCCCCCCTCTGTCTGTCTGTCTGTCTGTCTGTCTGTCTGTCTGTCTGTCTGTCTGTCTGTCTGACTCTCTCTCTCTCTCTCTCTCTCTCTTTCACCCACACCCACACACGTTAGAAAGACGACGTTAGACAGAACTTTTTTAGTGTCAGAGTAGTAGACAAATGGAATAAATTAGGAAGTGATGTGGAGGAGGCTGACTCCATACACAGCTTCAAGTGTAGATATGATAGAGCCCAATAGGCTCAGAAACCTGTACACCAGGTGATTGACAGTTGAGAGGCGGGACCAAAGAGCCAGAACTCAACCCCCGCAAGCACAACTAGGCGAGTACAGACACAGATGAGGCATCACTGAATTTTTAGGGGAAATTTGTGTGTGGAAGGTGGCCAGGCTAGGCTGCTCGGGGTCAGCCACACTGGTCTACTTTAAGGAACATCGCCCCCTACAGCCACCACTACTGATTGTCATGAAGTCTGAAATCTGGGCTTTGTGTTCCCAAGAGGTTTTGAATAATTTTCTTATATAAATGCATTACATGTTAATAATAATAATAATAATAATAATAATTGTTATTTATATAAAGTACATCTTATGCATGATACAGTGAAGCACCCGTATGTAAACATGATGATGTATATAAAGTCACTTATATGCAGGGAAGAAGAGGGGAGGAGGGGGGAGGGTAGATGCGTAGGGAAAGACAGGTAGACAGACCCAGGCACGCCAGCTACCCACACTGCTGTATCTCCCAGTCTGAAGGAATATTACACAAGTGTACTGTATTCCTCCACTACACCTGGCTGTATCTCCCACCCTGGAGGAACATTACACAGGTGTACTGTATTCCTCCACTACACCTGGCTGTATCTCCCACCCTAGAGGAAGTCTCGTGACTTCTCTAAAAAAAAATGGGTTTACGAGGCCCAAAGTGGAAATCCTAACAATTCATCAACAACAGTTTTACTACGAATCTCGTATTCAGAAGCAACGACTTACATTAAATTCCAGGGTTAGGTTCCCGAAGCTGAAGGACGAGAAAGCGGTCCCTTCCCCCACAAGTGAAAATCACGTACTGGATGGTCATCCTGCCTGCCGCCTCTTATATGACTTTCCTGCCCTGTCGTGACGTCACGGCCTTCAGCTGGGCACACTGTTCTTGGTACGCCTTCGTGTTTGCGGTTACTCAGCAGGTTGTGTCCTGGTCGACCTGGAGAGCCGCCGCTGCTGAACTCACATCTGGAAGCCCTGCTATCTGGTTCCATGGGGCCAAACAACCATTTATAATTTCGAGATTAGTTTGCAGATGAATTAAGAACACAGGCACACACACGCGCGCGCGCACACACACACACAACTTTTTTAGTGTCAGAGTGGTTGACAAATGGAATGCATTAGGAAGTGATGTGGTGGAGGCTGACTCCATACACAGTTTCAAGTGTAGATATGATAGAGCCCAATAGGCTCAGGAATCTGTACACCTGTTGATTGACGGTTGAGAGGCGGGACCAAAGAGCCAGAGCTCAACCCTCGCAAACACAACTAGGTGAGTACACACACACACACACCACCTGTTGATTGACGGTTGAGAGGCGGAACCAAAGAGCAAGAGCTCAACCCCCGCAAGCACAAATAGGTGAGTACACACACACACACACACACACATTGACTCCATACACAGTTTCAAATGTAGATATGAAAGAGCCCAGTAGGCTCAGGAACCTGTACACCTGTTGATTGACGGTTGAGAGGCGGGACCAAGGATCCAGAGCTCAACCCCCGCAAGCACAACTAGGCAAGTACACACACACACACACACACATTTAAGCATACAACCCAAGTATGGAATCGTCATATAAATTTTAATTTTAAATAACACTAGAGAAATTAGAGACATATTAGAAAGAGAGCGCAACAGTGCAAGGGGAGGTTTTGAAATAAATTGAAAAGGCACATGAATCACAGACACGCCAGATATAACCTTTTTCACATTAATGTTATGATTTCAATTTCTTTCTTTATTATGCACCCCATACCCATCCCGTGGGCGTTGGTGGCACGTAATAAGTTCAGGGACTGAACCCCATAGTTCCTTTAGCTAAACAAGTGACAATCTTTTTGAAGCTAGTTACACAATTGTTAATATTATATATATATATATATATATATATATATATATATATATATATATATATATATATATATATATATATATATATATATATATGTATGTATGACAGTGTCAGACCACGGAGGAAGAATTGAAACAGGAATTTCCTTAAGTACTTCCGTATATTAATACATCTTCAGAAGGAATGAAGGATTAATACATCTTCAGAATTATATATTCCTTCTGAAGATGTATTAATATACGAAAGTACTTAAGGAAATTCCTGTTTCAATTCTTCCTCCGTGGTCTGACACTGTCACATTCTTCATCACGTGTAAATTTTCGTGATTTACACACATGTATGTATGTATATATATATATATATATATATATATATATATATATATATATATATATATATATATATATATATATATATATATATATATATATATATATATATATATATATATATATATATATATATATATATATATATATATATATATATATATATATATATATATATATATATATATATATATATATATATATATATGTCGTACCTAGTAGCCAGAACTCACTTCTCAGCCTACTATTCAAGGCCCGATTTGCCTAATAAGCCAAGTTTTCCTGAATTAATATATTTACTATAATTTTTTTCTTATGAAATGATAAAGCAACCCTTTTCTCTATGTATGAGGTCAATTTTTTTTATTGGAGTTAAAATTAACGTAGATATATGACCGAACCTAACCAACCCTACCTAACCTAACCTAACCTATATTTATAGGTAAGGTTAGGTTAGGTAGCCAAAAAAAGCTAGGTTAGGTTAGGTTAGGTAGGTTAGGTAGACGAAAAAACATTAATTCATGAAAACTTGGCTTATCAGGCAAATCGGGCCTTGAATAGTAGGCTGAGAAGTGCGTTCTGGCTATTAGGTACGACATATATATATATATATATATATATATATATATATATATATATATATATATATATATATATATATATATATATATATATATATATATATATATAAACTGAAAACTCACACCCCAGAAGTGACTTGAACCCATACTGCCAGGAGCAACGCAACTGGTATGTACAGGACGCCTTAATCCGCTTGTTTATCACGACCGGACAAAAGGAAGTGATAGCCGAAGCTATAAGATAATAGCTTAGGCCAAGCGGATTAAGGGCGTCCTGTACATACCAGTTGCGTTGCTCCTGGCAGTATGGGTTCAAGTCACTTCTGGGGTGTGAGTTTTCAGTTATATATATATATATATATATATATATATATATATATATATATATATATATATATATATATATATATATATATATGTATATGTCGTACCTAATAGCCAGAACGCACTTCTCAGCCTACTATTCAAGGCCCGATTTGCCTGATAAGCCAAGTTTTCACGAATTAATGTTTTTTCGTCTACCTAACCTACCTAACCTAACCTAACCTAGCTTTTTTTGGCTACCTAACCTAACCTTACCTATAAATATAGGTTAGGTTAGGTTAGGTAGGGTTGGTTAGGTTCGGTCATATATCTACGTTAATTTTAACTCCAATAAAAAAAAATTGACCTCATACATAGAGAAAAGGGTTGCTTTATCATTTCATAAGAAAAAAATTATAGTAAATATATTAATTCAGGAAAACTTGGCTTATTAGGCAAATCGGGCCTTGAATAGTAGGCTGAGAAGTGAGTTCTGGCTACTAGGTACGACATATATATATATATATATATATATATATATATATATATATATATATATATATATATATATATATATATATATATTGACGATCACAAAACACTGATCATTTTATGCGGAAAATCCACAGAGAAATATGAAATGAGGTGAACGTTTTGGCTTGTGGCCTTTGTCAACACCAGCCTGACTATATATATATATATATATATATATATATATATATATATATATATATATATATATATATATATATATATATATATATATATATATATATATATATATATATATATATGTCGTACCTAATAGCCAGAACGCACTTCTCAGCCTACTATGCAAGGCCCGATTTGCCTAATAAGCCAAGTTTTCATGAATTAATGTTTTTTCGACTACCTAACCTACCTAACCTAACCTAACCTACCTTTTTCGGCAACCTAACCCAACCTAACCTATGAAGATAGGTTAGGTTAGGTTAGGTAGGGTTGGTTAGGTTCGGTCATATATCTACGTTAATTTTAACTACAATAAAAAAAATTGACCTCATACATAATGAAATGGGTAGCTTTATCATTTCATCAGAAAAAAATTAGAAAAAATATATTAATTCAGGAAAACTTGGCTTATTAGGCAAATCGGGCCTTGAATAGTAGGCCAAAAAGTGAGTTCTGGCTACTAGGTACGACATATATATATATATATATATATATATATATATATATATATATACATCGATAATCTTTTGTATCACAAGTAATTCAACAAGAGGCTGAGACAACTTAGTCGAAGTAATTACTAACGAAACTCTACACACAGTTTTAGAAATATTTACAATAAGAAACAGACAGGAACTGAGTCATTGCATTGAACAGTCGATAGCTGGAGAGGCAGGACTTTGAAGCTGAAACTCAACCTTATAAATAGTTTTAGGTACATATACATGTTCGTCTTCTTTATCCATCTTTCTTTTATCTCCTCAAATTGATTATCTTCTCTTCCTCCCATTTATCCTGTCTTTATATCCACACAGTTATTCAGTTCTTCACACAATCCTTTACTCACACAATACGTCAACACATACTGAACACCAGGACTTCCCACTCCACACGTCGGTCACACTCAACGCGTAATCCGAAGGTTAGGCTAGGTAAGGCTAGGTTAGGTTAGGCTAAGTTTGTTTGCAAATGAATTACACGGGTGTACTCTCCCACCCATTCACTAGACATATGGGTCACACCCGTACACTTGACATGTATATACCGACGTACAACGCAATTAGAAAGTAGAAATCGATACAATTTAATTTGGACAAACCGGAAAAGTATTTTCTACCTGTGTTGCAAAGACAAACTAATCTTACCTAACCTTCCTAAACCTAATACACACTATCTGAGGCCTAATATAGTACATATATGTGCTATACTAAGCCTAGGAATATTCAAGTTTGTTTTTTAGTTTCATTTTTTCGGACTTAATAAAGTGAATAGTACAAAATTCTACTAGCTAATGGTTTAGTACGTCAATATTTGTACTATGGTGCAGATAGTTGCAAAAAGTACTATCTAAACAGGAGGATGGGTTGCACTCTCACACATTTGGAAGCTGAAGACTGAAGGGCTCCTTGTAGGGTTAAGAACACAATAAATATTTTAAGATTAGAGAGTCGACGCTGATGTTGCGTTTGTTGAAGTCTCGTGCTTCACTTTGTCTTATGAGTTAGTCTACCACAATCTGAAAATGAAAGGTAAGTCATCTCAGTAAATGTCATCAGACCTGTAGCCTCGTGCGGGCCAGTAGGCATGCAGCCTTGCAAGACCCAGACCTGTAGCCTCGTGCGGGCCAGTAGGCATGCAGCCTTGCAAGACCCAGACCTGTAGCCTCGTGCGGGCCAGTAGGCATGCAGCCTTGCAAGACCCAGACCTGTAGCCTAGCTCGCGTGAGCCAGTAGGCATGCAGCCATGCGCGACCTAGCAGGCCCGTTCCAGTGTTCTTTTGTAAACATATACTCCTGACATTATCAATATTAACACATGTAGAAGGAATGCAGCCAGCAGGAGGTCAAGTACCGTGGCGACACTTGGGGTCGGGCTGACCTCGTCGCTTCCTACCACATGTGAACAATAAACTGCCTTCCGGTGAAAGTACCTGTGATATAATCCCTCATCCTTCGGGATCTCGCTACCGCAAATACTCCCAGCGCTGAGGGAGGCCGCCGTGGCGGGAGAAAAAGTCAAGACAGTCATCTCTCTTGGTTGACTTTCTACAAACTTTGAGAAAAATACAACGGTTCTCAGGAGAAATGAAATAGAATCTGACCTTACTAGAGCTGTCATATAAGCCTTACCGATAATGGTAAACACCTACAAGCTGAAACCAACGCAATTCTTAAAAAATCTGTAGAGAAATTTCTGTCCCATGGGATATCACCATGTGTACTAAACACTTCTTTCAAATATTGTTAAAATAGTAGCAGTGTATATATTGGCGATTACTTGTTAATGTTACACTTTTCTGTAAATCGTGGAAAATTTGAGATCTGAGAGATCTATTGACGAGTAAAGCGTCGAATGGTCCGAGCACTTTATAATTATTTGTTTCCATGATGGGTGGCCACAGCACGTTCCTGACCTCTCCACCAGCGGGTCTGGGGACCATAACAAACATAATTGCAATTAATAGAGTAATCGTGCATTAAACAAAATTCATTGAGGTCACGTGACCTGTGGCAAGTAACTTCAGGTAACACATCTCTCATTCTTAGCTACGAGGCAGCTCATATTTATACCTAACCAAACTCATTCATAAATTAAGATATTATAACTAGCCTTCCAAAAATCCCACCGTGCATTATGTTTCCCGGTAACTAGCTTCCCAACCCATTTGCAGACATGTTTTCTTGACCTAAACTTATCTAATTAGTATACATTGCTTCATATTCTTATTTATATCCCCTTTGTTATATAGCAATTGGATTATACTTTCTAACAATATATTATTTTCAGTTATTAGAGCCACACGCACTCTACCTAAAGTTTGCTAATGCCGGCGAACAGATTTAATTCCTGCTAAACTTTTAATATAGTTTAGGGTTCCAAATAAATGACTAGGTAGGCCATCATAAATGACCAGGTGGATCTACATTAATGACCAGATAGGCCTACATAAATGACCAGGTGGATCTACATTAACGACCGGATAGGTCTATATAAATGACCAGGTAGGCCTACATAAATAATTAGTAGGCCTACATAATTTTAATATGTAAATAAACAATATAATGCAATGACGATTCAAGTTTATTAAACAAAAAATTCTGGAGCAGATGTATCTATGAACGTAAACAAAATATTGTGGAGCTCACTGTCTAGGCCTACTTGGCCTAGTGAGCAAACGTTTGACTAAGGATCTTAAAATAAATAAGTATATTTTGTAAGGTATAATTGTGTGAGAGGTCAGAGTCGAGTGGCGTCCTGGAGAGCTTAACTGGGGATTACTACGCTTGGCCCGCATAGCGATGTACTCCAGCCATGTAGGGAGGTATTCTTCGTAGCCTGCTAATGCCTCATTACCAACTTTACGACAGTGTGAGACTACGGTCCTGCAGACGACAAGGTGTAGCTCCAACCCTCCCGGTACACACACAAGCCTCACGACAGATATATAACGAGAGATATACCGCTGCTGTTACCACCTAGATCCCAACACCGGTTCTCCGCTACATTATGCGCTAAGTACTGAATGTAGCAGAAGCCGCCAAATAATACAAGTAGCGGTAACAGCCATATACTACAAATGCTACAAAATATTTGTAGCATATACTACAAATAACTAGTATACGATGGTCAAAACAACTTGTAAACATCTCTATTTTTAGAAAGTAATCACATTGTCAAGATTTTTGTGGTCTGTAAGAGATAAAAGTTTAAAATTTCATTGATTTTTCAGTTTCCAAACTGCTACTGAGCGTCTCTCTCACTCCAGTCTACGCGATAGGTAATTGTCAGTTCAGACTACACAGACTCAGTGTAGGATAAAAATAATACTCTTAAGGAATTAAACTAAAGCAGTATTGAATTGTTGGACATCTTTATATAATTATTATTTGTACATATACTTATATATAGTGACTAGAAACAGACTAGGATAAAAAAATCACGCGTGATACATATTTACACACATTCAGACACGCACTCAAGCATGGATATATATACACAAACTGTCATACACACACAAACATGTACATACACACACATGCACATACATAAGGAGCCTGTCAGGGCGCTGATCCCGTGTTGCTTGCAGCGCACCACCACACTCATAGCTCTTAGACACGATTTAATCTAATGTTGTGATGCTCTGCTTGCAGTGACCTGCTAGGTGTGTCCTTGAGGGGTCGAGGGTCACGGAATGTGCGAGGTGCGTGAGGGATGGTCACGGGCGTTGCCGGGGTGTGTGAGGGCTGGTCACAGGCGCCTCGGGGTGTGTGAGGGAGGGACGCACAGCATATTCTCATAGGCTGCCCAAAACATTACTGAAGGGTCGGATGGGGGTGGATCAGGGCTCGTATACTTGCAGATGAGACCACTCTCGCAGGGGCAACGCTCGTTGATGGCATAGTCAGGGCCGCCCTCCGGCACGAAGCACTTGTGACCCTGAGGCTGAAGACGCTGACATACTTGCTGACCCTTGCGTCGGGCGCAGCACATGCCCAGGTCACATTCGCGGTCCTTGCGGCACCTGCTGCCCTCTTTACCACGTTCCACGCGCTCCGCACACTCCCCGAACATGCAGTCAAGCCCGCGCTGACACATGTCGTCGCGGCGACACGCCTGGCCAACTGCGAGCCGCTGGCGACACACGCCGTAGTGCACGTCGCAGAACTCCCGCCGGCCACACACACGCTCGTTCGTGCACAAACGCTGCAACACACAAATATATTATTACATTTGATTGATTTTTGTTATGTAAATTTTGTAGCACCGGTTTCAGGCATTATATATTAAGTATACTTTAAAATGTTATTTTTAAGAACTTCCAGATACGCAATATTTTCAAATATTTGTAAACCTAAGGAAGTAAATGGTAGAGATTAAAGGTACGATGACTTACCAGGTCCTTGTACGGGTCATACGGGAGGGCGTCCGGGGAGGCGCTGATGAGGTCACGGGTGTTGTGGCGGGCGGAGTCCTTGTTCTTGGGCGAGAAGAGCCAGGTGAGGCTCTGGCCAGCTGTCACCCCCACCATCACCGTCAGTAGGTGCGCGTACACTTTCATCCTCCCAACCGCTGATGACAGATGTGTCTCCAGTAACGACAGTTTGCCTCAGTCACAGGTCTTGTGCTGGTGCTGCCGACGAGGTCACTGACCTTCCTACACCAAAGCCACACCTTTTATAACGCTGGGCATGTCACGTGACCCACACACCTGCGTCGCACCTGGCTGCCTCTACTTCACCTGTGTGGCGGGTGTGACGGGTGTGGTGGGTGTGGCCAAGCCGCGTCACACCTCCACACGCCAATGACAAACATAAGCACTTTACACAATTTAAGATATATGATATTTGTATTTTTTTAATTAGTTAATTATGGACCTCACACGTGCCTATGAAAATAAAATCCACCGTGAGGCGGTTTTCAGTGTTTTTTAAAGACAAGTCGTGATAACACTATTGAGTAGTATATATATAATCAGCAAAAATACATGTGAATTGTAGATTAAAAATAGAGGCAATGCATCCGTCTATATATGAACGAGTTTGGTCGGAGATAAATAGAAGCTACCTCGTATGGGCCTGTAGACCTTCAGTTTGTTAAGTTCTTATTTTTGAGTTCTTTCTGTCAATACAACAAATGTTATTATGTAGATTATTACCGAGAGATCTGGGGCCAGATTCACGAAAGCACTTACGCCAGCACTTACGAACGTGTACATCTTTCCTCAATCTTTGACTTCTTTGGTTTCATTTATTAAACAGTTTACTAGCATGAAAACTTGCCATTCAACTGTTGTTATTGTTATAAACAGCCTCCTGGTGCTTCGGAGCACATTAAACTGTTTAATAATTGGAAACAAAGCCGCCAAAGATGGAGAAAAGATGGACGGATTCGTAAGTGTTTGCGTAAGTGCTTTCGTGAATCTGACCCCTGTTTACTAGAACAGATCAAGCCTAAGCAGGCGTCTTCTTCCACAGTACACACTCCAGTCGTCTGATGCAACCTCTCCTCTTACAAAGAACGTCGCATTTCGATCGTATGCGTTACATAAAGCCAACAATTGTCGTACTAGAAAATAATAGCGGCTGGCGAAAGTGACGTACTATAAGACCTCTGGGACACCTCGGGTACCTTTATAGGCACAGGCGCCCGCCGCGAATTTCCGAAGTTCTCTCAGTGAAGTAACAATGGTATTGATCTTTTACCGGAAACCTTATACTCTGGACGCTTCAGGTTATTAATGACCATTGCTCCCGGAGCTTCTCTAGGCCTCAGAGCAGGTTATTAATGACCATTGCTCCCGGAGCTTCTCTAGGCCTCAGAGCAGGTTATTAATGACCATTGCTCCCGGAGCTTCTCTAGGCCTCAGAGCAGGTTATTAATGACCATTGCTCCCGGAGCTTCTCTAGGCCTCAGAGCAGGTTATTAATGACCATTGCTCCCGGAGCTTCTCTAGGCCTCAGAGCATATTAATAACATCCTCGACTTCAGCACACCCCCATCCTCCTCCTCTTAGCTCTGGATATCTCTCTATCCTTATATCAGCAGGCACCATCCATATATAACTAACCCTCTTCTGTCTCTCTCTCTCTTGTCTGTCTCTCTTCTAGCTGTCAGTTTTGCATTTGTCAGTGAGAGAGATCGGGTCTCTGGTCACTGCTGGGCCGCGTCCGTCGACAGCTCAAGTGTGCTGGAACTTTGTGCCCACAGATATTATTCTGGGCTTTGCAATTGCGTTGTAAGACAAAGTTAGCTGAATGTCATGTTACATGGAGCGACAGGAACCTTTTCAACTCCGAGCCTGTCTACCTCAATCTTGCCCTTTCAACGGCGAACATCACCGTTGCTTCACTAGGACTACATCACCGTTGCTTCACCAGGACTACATCACCGTTGCTTCACCAGGACTACATCACCGTTGCTTCACCAGGACTACATCACCGTTGCTTCACCAGGACCACATCACCGTTGCTTCACCAGGACCACAACACCGTTGCTTCACTAGGACTACATCACCGTTGCTTCACCAGGACCACATCACCGTTGCTTCACTAGGACTACATCACCGTTGCTTCACCAGGACTACATCACCGTTGCTTCACCAGGACCACATCACCGTTGCTTCACCAGGACTACATCACCGTCGCTTCACCAGGACTACATCACCGTTGCTTCACCAGGACTACATCACCGTTGCTTCACCAGGACTACATCACCGTTGCTTCACCAGGACTACATCACCGTTGCTTCACCAGGACCACATCACCGTTGCTTCACCAGGACTACATCACCGTTGCTTCACCAGGACCAGATCACCGTTGCTTCACCAGGACCACATCACCGTTGCTTCACCAGGACTACATCACCGTTGCTTCACCAGGACCACATCACCGTTGCTTCACCAGGACCACATCACCGTTGCTTCACCAGGACTACATCACCGTTGCTTCACCAGGACTACATCACCGTCGCTTCACCAGGACTACATCACCGTTGCTTCACCAGGACCACATCACCGTTGCTTCACCAGGACCACATCACCGTTGCTTCACCAGGACTGTGAGCTCTGGGCACCAGCTTCACATACACTCAAGTAATGGTGATCTTAGTCCCACCAAAATCATCACACTTGCCTCACTGGTATTCTTTTATAAACATTAAGTCTCTTAATTAAGATGCCCTCTAGACTCACCTGCATGAATGGGAGGGAGGGAGGGACGTAGGGAGGGGGAAGGAGGGGGGGAGGGAGAGACGTAGGGAGGATAGAGGGATTATCCCTCAAGAAGGCGGAGAAGTCATCATTAGTTGCCCGCCCCTAGTACCTGTTAACAGGTGTCACCTGTCACCCCTTTACACCTGCTATCATGCCCCCACACACACACCTTCACTACCCCACCACCACCACTATACCTGTCACCATCCCCCCCCACCCCAACACCCTCCACCATACACAACCCAACACAACTCCAGTTTGTTTCCCTCGAGACATGCACTTATAACTATAACTAGTCTCAGTGCTACACTCTCATCCAACCATCCAAATCAAGACGTATACACTCGACAATAGGATCAACGAGGTGTGAAAATAGGTGTAGGGAAGTAGAGATGAGGCAAAGGCGCGCGTGGAGCGGGCAAGCAAGCTAAGCCTGCGCACCTGCACCTGGTCAATCACTATTCACACCCACAGGTCACTTTTCACACCCATGCCCCATCCAAGGGAGCCAAGGTATTCATGTTTCTCTTTCTCGCTCTTATCTGAGTCCATAATTACTGGATTAACACACCGTTTTCAAGAGTTAGTCTTTAATTCTATTTCTAATTTACAGTTACTATTGTGGCCTGAATCAAATTCTGTTAAGACCCTTTAGAATACCTCAAGCATTGATATTTAATGCTTCACTTGAGCGGGGAGAGCTGCAGCCATATGCAACATTGCAAATATGCCATTAAAACACGAGAAAGGGAGAAAGAGAGGAAGGACTTGACTATAATGTCAAAGACAAGCATACTATGTTAAGTACTTGAAAGAATAACAAGAATAACATAGGATAGGATAGGATAGGATAGGATAGGATAGGATAATATAATAGGATAGCTAGACGGAATCAGCCTTGTAAACAATCGCCAATTCCAGTTAGATGACAAAATAACGAAAATAAGTCACAACAGAGATGGATGAGCACAATTCTTATTTCTAATAAGAAAAAAATCTTTTGAATTAATTCTGCATAAAAGACGGATACTTTGTAATGTGGTGGTTGTTATGACCCAGTTATTGTGTAGAATCATTAGTAGTTTTCCTTCTTCTGTGGTTATCAATTAATTAAGTATTTAATTACTGGTCATGAATAGGTCCTATATACTGAACGGATTCACTTATAATTAGTATACTAAATGTATGACTGTATGTTGTTTACGTGTATCTTGTATTGTTGTATGTTAGTATTATACTGGTGATGTGTAAACTAAGTTTATTTATCCCCTATTCCTTAGTTATTTTATTGCACGGTCAGGAGAATTGGGAGGTTGGGGAAACTCAGATAAAATCACGAGCCCTAATCAAGGCATCATAACACTGATGGAGACATGAGACCAGCAGGACGGTACACAATGAGGAGGAACAACTCAAGAAAATGACCAACGAATATGTACACTACAAATTTGAACCGCATTAGGCGCACGTAAATAATATAGCATCACACTCCTGACATGAGTGTTTTTATAGGGGCCTCGTAGCCTGGTGGATAGCGCGCAGGACTCGTAATTCTGTGGCGCGGGTTCGATTCCCGCACGAGGCAGAAACAAATGGGCAAAGTTTCTTTCACCCTGAATGCCCCTGTTACCTAGCAGTAAATAGGTACCTGGGAGTTAGTCAGCTGTCACGGGCTGCTTCCTGGGGGTGGAGGCCTGGTCGAGGACCGGGCCGCGGGGACACTAAAGCCCCGAAATCATCTCAAGATAACCTCAAGATAAGGGGGCACATTGTCAAGTTTATAAACTGACGAACATAAAAACGCCTTCAGGAACGTCAATTCAGAAACGTTCAGAACACTGAATGCCACCTACATGAGATGAAGCCTACGATATGCAGCCCCAACTTACAAAATTATCATGAAAAATGGAAAAGTACAAAGGTTAAGAATGAAGCTCTGCTCAGAATTGTGTATTACTATATATATATATATATATATATATATATATATATATAATATATATATATATATATATATATATATATATATATATATCGTACCTAGTAGCCAGAACGCACTTCTTAGCCTACTATGCAAGGCCCGATTTGCCTAATAAGCCAAGTTTTCATGAATTAATGCTTTTTCGACTACCTAACCTACCTAACCTAACCTAACCTAACTTTTTCGGCTACCTAACCTAACCTAACCTATAAAGATAGGTTAGGTTAGGTTAGGTAGGGTTGGTTATGTTCGGTCATATATCTATGTTAATTTTAACTCCAATAAAAGAAAATTGACCTCATACATAATGAAATGGGTAGCTTTATCATTTCATAAGAAATAATTAGAGAAAATAAATTAATTCAGG